GGTAATAATCTTGGCAGTATGATTTCGATAATTTCATTGTCAGGTTTCCTACCATATAGCATATTCACAAGCTTGACTTTTCGCAGGATAAATTCGGTTAATTCATCAAACCTCTGTTGATAGAAGATATATAATTCTGCTTCAAGCTTGGCACGATCTTTAACTATTGGGAATGCTTTTAGGAGTGCCTCTTTGAAATTGTTGAAGGTATAGGTGAGTGATCCAACTTCGCCAAGTAGGAATTTCCCAGTGGCTTTCCAGCAAGCTTCTACCTGTTCTCGGAGAGCACTTGAAGCAATAGCTACTTTCTGCCTTTCTGGTACTGGATATAATAGGAAGTGCGTCTCGAGGGCTTCGAAAAATGAAGTTACGGAGTTCTTGCCATCAAATACCACTGTTGGTTTAATTGCTGCCCTCATCGTCTGTATTAGGAAGCCAAATCAATCTAAATGGGAGGTCATCATTGGATCTATTACTTCTGAGTCTTCAGGAGATACTTCTTCGTTGGCCATTTTTTTCTGGTTCGTATAAGTTCGGGCGCCAGATGTAGTGTCCAGGTGCTTTAACCTCTAGCTGGATACAGGAGTAACAGGAAACTGCACAGAAGAAAGGGTTCAAACCCTTTATTAACTCTTTAAAATTTACACGGCGTCAACTTGACGCTAACAAACTTTGCCTCCACTTGGGCGGTAACTGAATAGCAGATAATTTGAAAATCAAAAGTTGAAATGTTTAACAAGTGCTAAACTAATCTAAAGGGCTCGGCGAGATACCGACTTTCGACCTTCTCTATAACTAATGGCAGCAGATAAATGCATTTTAGCCACTTAAACCAGCAATCAGTGATTGTACCTACGGCAGAGACGGCTGCTCGAGCCCAACTCTCTCAATTCCCTTCTAAAACCTCAGTATTTAAACTTTTCTCCTCAAGGTAGAATTTGCATTCTCGTCATGCACGCTACCAAATTTAACTATTCTGGCACTGACACTTAGGGGAATGAAGGCTTATAGGAAAGTCTGAACTAAAATTTAAATTATTAGTAAAACTAAATATAAATCCCTACAACATTTAAGATTTTGCTATTATTAATAGTTGCAAAATCATAATTGCAACTATTATTGGAAAATTTCTTGTGAATTTATATTGGATCATCCTGAAAGTTCTGCAGTTTTTCAAACTGAATTGAATTTGCTTCTAATTATTCTCTTATTGCTTATAAGGAGTGAATTTGATTGAAGCAGGTGTTTAACTATGGTCGTCTTCCTACCATATAACATCCTCAAAGTACCTTAATTGTTCTGATTCTCTTTTTTCTCTTCAACTTTTGAACAGTATTACCAGCTGCAATAAATTAGTTATCGAAACCCTAGTAACTGTTAGTTCACTTAGAATTAGAGGTATTGATATCTGCTTTGCTTATGTGTTTGCTCATCATGGTTTCTATGGAAATGAAAGAGCTGATTTCTTAGCTAAAGATGCCTTAAATTTACCCATTGATATCAATATTAGCATTCCAAAGAATTATTGGAAGTCCTTTCATTATAAAAAGCTTTTAGCTATGTGGAATGAGGAATACATTTCATCTTGTAATGCTGAAATCACCAAAAAGTTCCTTCCTTCTATTTACCATAAACTGAATTCCGAGTCTTTCTCTCGTTAAATTTAAAGTGTCTCAGTTTTTATATCTGGTCATGGTAAATTTGCAAGTTACCTGTTTTTTTGTTTTAATCTACGATCAACAATTTATGTGAATGACCAAAAAGAGTTCCTCAGGATGTGGAACATTTGATTTTCTCATGCCCTACATTTGATGGCCCTAGATTATGCTTACAGAACGATTTGAAAATGTTCGGAGTGATTTGGCCAGTGAACTTATCTGTTTTCGTGAAGTCCAGACTGCTGTTCTCTGCTTTTGTTTGCTTTATTTATGCATGTAACTTTTAATGTTTTATTTATGCATGTAACTTTTAATGCTTTAGTAAACTTACTTCTGTAAGCCCCGTGTTGTACATATGTGGTGCACGGGGAGTCTGTATGTTCTCAAAGAGGAAAAAAAAAATATAGTCTTCCTTGCTCATACTGCATAATAATTCTATTATATTTTGTGGCATAACAAATGCTTGAATTATTCTCGCATGTTTCATTGCTGTACTAAGAATAGAGAGTCTTAAAGCTCATTTTCATCATAATATGCTCTTTTATTACAAAAAAATGTTAGTAGACTAATCATAAAATTTGTGCTATATATGGGAAAAGTGCAGTTTCTGAATTCAAAAGCAATTTGAGATGTTCAGTCATGGAAATTTCAACATTAAAAAAGATGCCTGCTCTACACGGCCATCCTTTTAAACAAGGGTCTATTAAAAGAAGCTGTCATTGAAAATTCAAGGTATATAGTTATGGAACTATCAGATAGAATAAATATTCCCAAATGTACAGTACATGATCATTTGAAGATGTTTACGTAAGCTGTTATGATGTGTAGGTATCCCATACTTTAGCAGAGCTGAATATGCTTCCTGGAGTTTTAGCATATGTTTCTTTGCTGAACAAAAATAACGAAGCTCCTTTTTTGATACAGCTTATTACTAAAGATGGGAAGTGAATACTATACTATAATGGTCCAAGAGAAAGATCATGGGTTAAGCCAAATGAACTCCTTTTGTAACATCGAGAGCAGCACTGCAATCCCAAAAAAGTAACACTTTGGGCATGGGGGGATTATAAAGAAATTGCACACTATGCCACCAAATAAGGCAATAAGTTCAGAAAATAATGTTCCGAAAAGGTAGTTCCATAAGCAGAAATCAGAGCAGCATGCCCAAAACTGACCAGTTATAGACGTGTCTTCCATTATGTAATGCTGGGTTCTGCATTTCGATGATTATCATATAAAATGAACTGAATAAGGCTTGGATGTCTTGCGTCACTTCCCATATTCATTATAATTTGACTCCTTGTATTTGTAGACTGTCAAACAGCAGCAAAAACTTCTTTATGAGTAAGCTTTTATGACCTTTTTTAAAAAGGAATTTTCTAGCTGGCTGAAAGATGGCAAAAAGTCATAGAATAAAATGGTGCTTATATGACTGAAGGAAAGTTTCTGGTGTTTTTGTACTGCTTCATTGGTATTTATTTATCAAAAAACTGCAGGACTTTTTGTATGATCCAATAATAACCAGATTTAAGATTTAAGTCGTATAACAGTCTTTAATCATGAAATTATTTGCTTCTGAATTTAATTTCGAAGGCCTGTATAATTATTTGACTTTTTTAAATATGAAGACTCAGCATATATGAATTGTTTTAGTTCTTTTAAAATTATTTTAAGTAAATGATGAACTTAAAAAAATTAATGTTGCACATAAAACCAGCATTAGTTGTTCCCCCTCCCCTCAGAATGCAATTTTTGGAATTTTGTTTTTTAGAGTGGCATTGCAGAGATAAAAAAAAACAACATTAGTGAAATAAGAAAAAAAAATTCACATACACTTTCTAGTATTCTATTCATTGTTTCCTATTCAAAAGCAATTTCTTCAGTATTTTTACAGTTTATAACTTCTGTATGTATATAAATATATGCTTCTTCTGTTTGGATGCATTGTTTAAGATGATGTAGAAGGTTTCTGTGGGGGTATCCTGGTGATTATCTCAGGGTAGTTAGTCTTTGTCAATTTTCTGAAAATAATTTGCCAATACACTTTCTTTTATATAATCCTCAGAGGAGGTAGCTTAGAATTTGTGGAGCAGGATACTTGATCAAATCACCAAAGCAGAAAATCAGATAATTTGGGAATGTGTATTGCAATGCAGCCATACTTATGCTTGGCATTGCACCACCATCCTGTTGGAACTAAATTGTATCCACAGGCTTTCTCATTCATAGCTCTTGCTGTCATTACTGTTTTGCTGCAAAACTTTCTCAGTGTCTATGACACAGAGAAACTTCCAATGCTGCAAGAAGCAGCTGCACTGGCCATTGCTAAACAGCCCATACATGTACATGTAACAGTACTGACAATTTAAATTGGCAGATACAATATGTGCCACCCGGTATATGCATATTAGAATAATTAATTTTTTTCATATGTTTTTAGTGGCCTTATTTCAGCAGTTTCTACTAATAATGATTCAAAGGTATTATCATGGGCAACATGATGCCTACACATGAATTTCACTAGGTATGAATCCAATTGATGGCAAGCCATACTTCTATGTTTCTTGGTCTGCCATTTTGTGGATTCCTATAATCACTCTGCATTCTGGGTATGACAATGATATCATCATCGCCAACATAATACCTGAACATGAATTCAATTAGGTAGGAATCCAGGTGATGGTGAGCCATAGCCTTATATTTCTTGTTCTGCCATTTCTTGGATCTCCATAATCATTCTGGATTTGGATAAAAGCAAATTGAAAAAAGTAATCATATTGAAAATTTTAGCATTAACAAATTATTAATTTACTAGCAAAAGATTTCATTTAAAAAAACCTACATGCAGATTAGAAATTTTTCATCAGTCACCATTTGGTAAATTTTGTTTATATGGCTTTTTATACCATTTGGCAACAAGTCTCGCATATATTTTAAGCCCAAATTGTACCAATGCTATTTTTTCTATATCGTAAAGCCGTTATGAAAATGAAGTACTTTTAATGATAATGTAAAAATACTTTTTTGATAAAAATTTAAATACAGAATTTTGAAGATTTTAAACCCTTTTTATAATAAAGAAATGGGAATAACAATAATTTTTAAAAAAAATTGCTTATCTGTAGCTTAAGTAGCAAATAATATATTTCATCTTTTTCAGTGATTCATGTTTGGAATTTTTGTGTCACATCATAAGGCATTTTTTTTCTTCAAAGTGCTGCAGCATTTTAAAAGTTATACTGAATTTTTTTTTTGTAATTTATTATTTTATATTAAATACTTATACATCTAATTCACAATATTTCTTTTGCTTCATTTATAATTATTTGTAATATTTTTCAGCATTTATCACACAGACTTCATCCATTATTGTTACTTTGGTGGTATGTATATTATTTTATAATTTCCAATTTAAGAAATTTGGAATTTTAGCAGCTGAACTGAAGCTAGGAAAATTCCAACAATTCGCATTCTGTGTATTCTTTTTAGGGCTTTCAGAATAGCATTAAAGCTTGAAACATCCATATGTTGTAATGCATATAAATAATACTATGTGCTGCATCTTTAGGGAGCACTAGTTCTAAATATTTCAAACAATGCTATGAATTATTAGATAAATTTGATATATTAGATACATTTTTTAACTTTGAAAAATAAAGAAACAATTGTTTACACTGAAGAATATATATTTCATTCCTTCAAACTTAAAAGCTCAGAAATCTACCAGAATTTTTAATTTTAACTATACAACTGCTATCAGCATTTTGTTTTACACTACCTGACATTGAAAAAATGCAATACCGGGAAGGAGTGGTTAGAAAGTGATGAAACTCGGAAAACAGAGAGAGACAGCAATGATGAACAATAAGTGATCTTTATTTCAAAATGATATGCATAATACAGAATGAGAACTTTGTCAGCTCAGTTGGCTCTGTTATGTACCTCTGACCAGGCTTCTGACTTAAGGTAAAACTGAACAGGATGATGCCTGATCAGTGTAAAAAACAATGAGGTGCCACCACAATAGGGTAGTGGGTGAAAGACCAAATGACAGTAATTGTTCTTAATCAGGAAAGTTACAGAAAATTAGTTTATGAAAATGATAACAATAATGAAATAATGAAAATGTTCATTTTCATTATTTCATTATTGTTATCATTATGAATTTCATTATTGTTATCATTATGAATTTCATTATTGTTATCATTATGAATTTCATTATTGTTATCATTGTGAATTTTATGAAAATGATAATAATTTGCCAATACACTTTCTTTTATATAATCCTCAGAGGAGGTAGCTTAGAATTTGTGGAGCAGGATACCTGATCAAATCACCAAAGCAGAAAATCAGATAATTTGGGAATGTGTATTGCAATGCAGCCATACTTATGCTTGGCATTGCACCACCATCCTGTTGGAACTAAATTGTATCCACAGACTTTCTCATTCATAGCTCTTGCTGTCATTACTGTTTTGCTGCAAAACTTTCTCAGTGTCTATGACACAGAGAAACTTCCAATGCTGCAAGAAGCAGCTGCACTGGCCATTGCTAAACAGCCCATACATGTACATGTAACAGTACTGACAATTCAAATTGGCAGATACAATACATGCCACCCGGTATATGCATATTAGAATAATTTATTTTTTTCATATGTTTTTAGTAGTCTTATTTCAGCCGTTTCTACTAATAATTATTTAAAGGTATTATCATGGGCAACATGATGCCTACACATGAATTTCACTAGGTATGAATCCAATTGATGGCAAGCCATACTTCTATGTTTCTTGGTCTGCCATTTGGTGGATTCCTATAATCACTCTGCATTCTCTGTATTATTTTACAACAACAACAATGACCTGACAATGACAACCTCACCTGACGACCTGACAATGACATCTTGCATAAATTGCTACATAGGATACATAAGATTGTGCTCCATATCAAGCAAAGTTACAATAATCTTAAGTAGATTGCCATGTAATGCAAAATATATACATTGAATACATAAAAGTTGTGCCAGTTTCTACATGTGTTAGAAATTCATAAAACAGTAAATTGGCTTTGTAGGTTATAGGACTACCTTGGACTGTGATAGTGAAGCAACACTTCTAGGTACAGAATCAGTGAGACTACAGATGGTATCTTGAGGAATGGGTCTCCATTCCCTGTGAACTACTTGCCACAGTTCGTCTCCTGAACATGATATTGACAGGGTCTTCAAATTGGTTTGATATGTGAGAGATCAGGGCAGAACGGTGGCCAGGGGACCTGAAATTTGCATGATTTGGGGGCCACTGCTTCTTGGTATAGCATTTTCAATGTTGGGTAGTGTATTTCAGGTTTATGTTAATGGAAAATTTCTCCTTTAAATGAGTAATTGTACTTTTTATTATTTACATTATTGTTTTTTATTTTGCATTTCAAGATTTTTGAAGCATAGCATAAGAGTGTGACAGAAACAAAATTATATATTTAAAAAAAGGAGGACTGGGATGAAGAAAAGTGAACTAAATTAGAAAAGAAAAAATAAAATACAGTTTATGTTAGAAAATTATGTGAATACTGAAATTTTTCTGTTCTTCATAGTAAAATAACCTAAAGAATGTTACAGTAATTTCTACATAGAAGAAAAATCAAGTAGTAAAGAACAAATTACCTTCAGAAAATATCATATAATAAAGCACCTTAGATTTTTTAAATTTCCTATTTTATCCTAAAAGTATTTTTTTAAGTGTCTTCTGTTGTATCCTTACATATATAAGAATATTTACTTGTCGGATTTATTCAATTTTGAAATATAAATGTCTAGCATCTTTAGCCTTAAATAAGATGAGACAATAAGATGATTTAATTAGTTATTTAACTATTTGTCATTACTTAACTTATGAAATTTTGAGTTATCTCTTCGTGTTTTATTTGATTTTGATTATTTTTATTTATTTTTTTTATTAATTTGTTTTGTTCAACTTTTTATAATGGCCTTTTATAGGGCTCAGGCATTTCTAATTTTGGAAATTAAGATCTGTTATAAAATAATTAAATGTTCTACTTCTTAAAGTTTAAGCAAGTAAAATTTTATGAGTATAATTGAGAATTTATATTTCATTTATGGATGATGTACTATTTGAAAGATGTGTTAGAGACTTTTGCATTGATCATGGGTACTAGTGAACTGGGATTTTACTATAATGGCAATATTTCCTTTCTATCTATTATTTGGTTTCTTTTTAAATGATTATGCCATATTGATTCTGTAACAGAGCTATGCTAAAGATGGCATTAGCAAGTTCTTACCTTAGGTAAAAAAAAAAAAAAAAAAATGAGGCACAGAATTAAAATTGCATTGTTCAAAAAGATCTGATGTATTTTTACAATAGATGGGACTAGTTCATTTTCAGAAATACTGGAGTCATTTGCATCTATGTTATTGATATACCATTTGATAACTGACAACACTAGCTTCTTTCTTTAAAAAAAAATTGAATAATTTTGTTGAGGTTTCGAGAATTCACAGAACAAATTTTGGATTTTCAGCATATTATACTTTTCTCTTCCATGAAAGGAAGAGCACACATCATGCTCATAAAAAATTACCTAAAGTTTCCAGTGACAATGCACTAAAAGAACGTTAGTGCTAGTGATGATTTACAAAATTTCATGTTGGTGCTTTTGATCTTTTGCTTATCAGATAGGGAACGATACCAAGATTACTAATGATAAAGACATTGACTCAAACCCACATTATATGACATGTCAAACCCACATTACACATTGCATGAAAGACTGCAGATGATGTTTGTTGAAGGTTTAGTGAATTTTAGGTTCACCAGCCAGCTAAATGAACTGCAATGCATTAGGTATTTCATTTTTCAAGCTTTTCCCAAAAAGCCAATCAATCTGTTTTAATGTGATGTCGGCAATTAGATAGCTTGAATGAATGTATCATCTGGAGATGTCCAGAGCCTATTAATCGTAAAGGAGTGTTCTGTCAGAACAATGCAAGACCACACAAAAGTTTGGTGACCAGTTGAAAGTTATTGGAAACTGAATGGAGATGTGTTGACACATCATATTTGCCTGACCTTGCACCATCATACTTGCTTCACTCTCTTTTACAATTCCTTGCGTGGTATATATAACATTCAGTTCAGATGAGGCTGTAAAAGGGCACCTTGCTCGATTTTTCACTGGTATAGACAGGTCTTTCTATGAATGAAGAATTATAAAGCTCCTTAAAAATTAAAAAGAAGTAATTGAACAATATATCATTGATTGGTCGTGGTTTATATAACAAATGGCCTTTGAAAAACAGAAAAAAATGTGTTAAGGCTCTACAAACAACCCAATGGCAAATGCTAATACAAATGTTATGAAAAGTATTTCGGGCATATACCATAGATTCCAGCGTATAACACGCACCAGTAATTTCAAACTGCATTTTTTAGTTTTTAGGTATATTTTTGTATTTAATGTGTACCTTTTTCTTTGCAAAGAAACCTTGAAAGATACATGTGTGATGTTGTTATTTTTGGAAGTCATTCATTCAAAGATTTTTCCCGAGCTTTCATACAATGGTGTACTGAATTGACAAAGTGGTAAGGAGAACAATATGTGTGTCAGGAAAATGCTTGAGGAAGTAAATAATTCTGCAAAGAGAGTTCATTGTGTTCAATGCAGGTGTGTACTAGAATGTTATTCTAGTGTTTCAAGAAAAGGGAGACATTATTTGAGGTAAAAATGCACTTCCAACCTGAATTCATGGAATCAGCAGCTAGATATTTTATTTTTCTGTAGTCATCTGAAACCATGATTTTTAAAGGAACATCGAAGGCAAGGACGGAAAAGGAGGCCAAATGTGTCATTCAGCCTGGAAATAGTGTGTGAGTGCATAATAAAAGCATGGAATAAAATTAAATCCGATATAATTCAAGTCGTTAAGAATATAGTATATCTATGTATATATCAATGTATATGGAATGGAAAATGATTATTTATTTATGGACCAGAATAATAGTGATAGTGAAGAAAAAATAGAATTCAATGATGTACCTGGAGATACAATGGAAGACCACTATGACAAACTTTTCATGTTATCAGATAAACAGAAATTTTCCAAGTTTATGAGGTATGTCATTTATTTTAAACAAACAGCATTAAGATTCATGTAGAAATATAATTTTTGTATGCTCATCTTTTCCTTATTTTTAAATCTATGCTTTTTATATCCAATGTATAATGCACACCTGTAAATTTCGATCTTATTTTTTGTATTAAAACTGTGCTTTATATGCCAGAATATACGGTAATTTTGAGATTTGCCTGTGGTGTTAAAATTTCTTGGTTGAGCTTTGGCTTAGGTATACTGCAGTTCCTGAAGTACAGGTACATTCTCTGTGTAAATCTAATTATGAATTAATGTAAAAAAATGTGAGTCTTTTAAGCTTCTTATTACCTGACAACTGTTACAATAACAACATGAAGTAACATTTACTGTTATCTATATCAGTTATATTTTTCTTAATTATGCATAATTTTTCATTTTCAGACATTTTCTCTGTTTTCAAAAATTGAAGGTAGGCCCTTAGCTCCATCGGATGTGTTCACTGGTTTAGCATTGTTTAACCAACTGACTGTGCCTTTGTACATAATTCCTTTTGTGATACCTATGGTTATAAATGCTGTGGTGAGGAAAATATATTTTGCTCTAATAGCTTTCATAAATTATATTTCTGTATTCAGTTTAAAGTTCTCCAGATTTTGTTTTTTTTACAATTAGAAAAGTTGACATATTGTTATGCACTGTACCGTATATTTCTTTATATAAGCCATGAATAAAGGTTTTTTTATTTATTTTTTTCTTTCCATACATTATAAACTTTGTTAATATTTTCCTGTACAGGTGAGCACAAGACGTCTTGTTGATTTTTTAATGCTTCCAGAAGTTGATTTATCACTTCCTTGGAGAGATGATTCAGATGTACCTGAAGCTCGAGTTGAATTTATTCCTGAGAGTGGAAGTGTTTTGGTAAGATTAAAAATTCTTGTTCATAAATATTGAACAATTTCCTTCATTTTTTTTATTCAAAAACTTTTAATGCTGTTTATTTATTACATTCTGATTTTATTTTTAAATGTTAAGGATTTGTTGGCATTAACTTCTTGTACATTTTAATTACATATGAAAATTGTTTTAAAATTTTTATTTGCACGTGTAACAACATGATATTTAATTTCTTCAGTTGCATGTGAAAGAAAGCTCATTTGAAAGCAGAGGCTTATCTGGTTCAGAAGAAGGTGATGGAGTGTTTCTTCCCGAATTTTATAATTATTCTCCCACTGAAGAAAATACTCTTCTAACCATAAAGAAAGGCTACTTTGCTTACGACATAGCTTACAATACACCCACGCTGAGAGACATTGATGCTCAAATTCCAACTGGTATGTTCCTATTTGTGTATATATATATTTAAGGTTTCAAAACTTTAAATATACTTATACTAGAAGGAAACATTAAAATATCCATGTTAAGTTCTTCGAATATATATATATATATATAGAGAGAGAGAGAGGTTACTCATGTGTTAAACACCAAGTGTTTCAATGTTTACCTTTAAAATATTAACTGCTATAAATACCTTTTTATCTGCATTAAATCATTTATGTGATCAGTAATCATAAATGATAAAAGATTAGCTAAATAGAAGCTTTTTCCAAGCTGTTTTATTGTTATTTATTTATTAATAAAATACCTTGAATCTATTATTTTTCAACAAGATGAATTGGGGTAGGGTGAGCATTAATACCAAAAAAAAAAAAAAAAAAATGATTAAGCCAGGAAATTATGTCACTTTTTACATAAGTAGAATATTCTAAATAACTAACTGTTACTGATTTCAACATGAATAGACTTGGTTAATATACAGGTAGCCCTCTTACAACACGGTATCCTGTAACACGGTTTCCCTATAACATGAATCATAAATTGCGAGAACCCTCCTACAGCATGGTTTTGCTCTAACATGATAAGAAAATTCGCCAGGAAATTCCAAGAAATTTAAGGAACTTCGCACAAGGTTTTTCCATATTGAGCAAAGCACCAACATAAGAAGATGGTGGCCAAAATATAGGCCAGATCTGTAGGGTATTTAAAAAAAAAAAAAAAAAAAAAAAAAGGCTCTGACTCAAATATCAATCAGAGAAATTCTGCTTTCTCACCCTCAGGGTGTGGGGATAGTCATTGTCGGCTCAGGCAAACTTGCAGCTTGCGTGTGATGGGTATTTGCATAAATACGCTATCCCGGGATAAAAGAGATGTTGATTTTCGATTGCATGTTTGTTTCTGTCAGTTCCTTGTGAAGATTGAACAGAAGATATAGATGATATCACCTGACAAGCATACAGTAGATGTAAAAGTAACAAGATTCGTAACATGTGGAAAGTAGTAGAGTTTCACACTGAAATGGCAATTGAAGGGAGTGGAAGTAACATTCCTATTTCCCGTCTTTTTAAGTAAACCTTTCAAAAATTGTCAACCTTTTAAAAGTTAACACATAAGAATCCTTGTTTTGTAAGTCTTGCCAGTCGTCTTCCAAGATCCGGTTACGATAAAAACAAAAATCCTAAGGAAGATGAGCCACATAGTGGAGACTGACCATTAAATTTTTAACCAATAACAAGTGAAAATCGTTTCCTTCCATGACTGTCAAAGTATAGCACAACAGAAATACTAACTAACCAGTCACAAAAGACCAAAGCCATCAGATAACAATGACGGAACCTCACTATCGCAGAAGATGAACGACACGAGGTCACAATGAGGGCTCCAAAACGTACAACTTGAACGTTCGGCTTCCAAAATTGTAATCCTCATCTACGTGGCCTGAAAATAAAAGCGTCTCATGCCACTGGTCATCAGTCTGCATGGAGCCACAGTGTGTTAAAGAATAACTTTTTTGCATTATGTCCCAAAATATGTCCGATAAAGATAAAAAAAGAATGTTTAAGAGAAAATTTATTTCTTTAGAAGTAAAGATGCAAATCTTGGGTCGTCTTTTAAAAGGAGAAAAGACATCTCACATTGGAAAACATCTTAATTTGAATGAAGCAACAGTCTGGAGTATTAATGAAAGAAAGAAAGAATGGACTATTAATGGAATAAAAAATGAAATAAGAAGTGCAGTTGCTGCAGGATTTTTGACATCCGCAAAACATGCATCTCGCCTGCAGGCGCCAATAATTGAGAAGATAGAAAAGGCACTCGGCATTTGGATTGATGACAGTTGTCAAAAAGAAATCCGTTGAATGGTAATATCATTAAACAAAAAGCACTCGAAATTTACAAGCACTGTAAAGATGATGTCAACCCAGATTTTGTGGCAAGTAAAAGTTGCTTCGAAAATTTCAAAAAGCGTTTTGTCATTCACAGCATAAGAATTCAAAGAGAATCTGCATCAGCTGATTTTGAAGCTGCTAAGGATGGTTCCTGAAAAAATTCAAAATATTATAGAAGAACAGGGATACACAGCAGATTAAGTTATCAATGCCGACAAAACTGGGCTGTGGTGGAAAAAATTGCCCAGTAAAACCTATATATATATATATATATATGTATATATAAGAAAAGAAAAAAAGATAGAAAGAAAAAGGTGTCAGAACTTTAAATGAAGAAAATATTCTGAAAGTGAAAGCGATCTCATTCCACCGAAAAAACGCTCTCGGTTGATTATACTGAGCAATGACGACAAGAAATTAATTAAATTAAAGTTGCATAAATTAAAAAATATTTTTGATTTTGGGTGGGTTGTACATAGATTTATATTTTTAATAAAAATTTTATTGCTATTTATGTAGAATTAAAAAAAAATTTGCTTTTTTGCAAAATTTTGCTTCAACTAAAAATATAACTTTCTAAGAATTAAAATGTTTTCACCATCTACTTCCCTTCAGCTTTGGGCAAACATTTTAATCTTTTGTTAAACCTTTCTAGATCTTGCTGAAACTTAGCATTATATCTTGTTCATTTTAAATTTCATCTTCTTCATCATGTTTTTTGCAGATCCAAACCAAAACCTAATACTCAAACTCACGAAAACAATCAGGAATAAACTTTTACATCAACAACAGAGCTGCCAGTCAGTTGGGATTTTGGCATGTTAGTTATTAAAACCCTGTTGTTAGGTTTGACGCATCCCAGTTTTGATGCAGAAACTCTGTAAAGTGGGGAAGAGACTCTTATTCTGTCTTTCCAGACTATCAAGATTTCAAGAGGATTGTTACCTAGAAGATGAGAGCAAATTCTACAAACAAAATTTGAGTTCCATTCTTTAAGACCCCATTCAGATATTAAATCTTGGGGTATGTATAGTATTACTTGCTGATGGAGCTTAATATACATTGATCAGACTGAGAGTGCTTTGAATTTTGCACTAAGAAGCATGAGACTTGTTTTAGGAAAAAAGAAACACATAAATCTGATATTATCCAATGTTGTTGGTCAAAAAATTACATTTTCCATTTCTCGGCAGGCAAAGTTATTCAAAAAGAACTTCTTGGCAAACCATTGGGAACTGTGTTTCTTAGAGGCATTTCGCATACATAAAATCCTTCAGCTCCAGTTATTGACCGAAGCTGAAGAAAAAGGTTCTGTTTTGAAGCTACTCCTTTGAAAATCTCTGAAACTAGTATGCTTCAGTATCTTCAATAGAAATTGCAAAAGCCCCTTCCTCTCAGAAAAGGATATCTTTCATTATTTAAGCCAGCAATACAGAGGGAGAAATGAGGGCATGTACTGAGTCTTGCTGCATTACTATATTGCCAAGCTTATAATTCAGGGAGAAGGTAGTGGAAATAATGTTTTGCTGCAAATAATTTTTGAATTGAAATGAATATTGCACTGGGAATATGATTTTTAACATCATGATAGTTCAGGGAACAATAGATGTGAGAATAAATAACATTATTTATAAGATTTGATTCAGGAACAAAAATGTCAAATGATGAATGTGTTAAAACTATTCTTATTGAAATGATAAATTCTGATATGTGACTGAATTCTTTGTTAGAAAAGTTCTAGACATTTTTTTTATTTATTATTATTTCTGAGTTTGCAGGACTAAAAAGTAACTAATGTTGTTTTTATGTTATCTGGTATGTATTCTTACTTGACATGACCTTGGCCATGTTTCTGCACAAACTTACTAGGGGGCAGGGTTGTGCTTAGCAACACAATGTTTCAGATTGTTCTCGCATTCGTTAAGGTGATACAATGGATTCTGATTGTGAGTAAGGAGGGAACATTAAGTTATGTGCTAAGCCTTCAAGAAAACTCCTAGTGAAACATGGAACATGATTAAGAAAGCATATGCAGGCGAAGCACTTTCAAGAAGTCATGTTTTCGAGTGGCACAAAAGGTTTCATGAAGGCAGAGATTCAGTACAAGATGATCCCAGAACTGGTTGCCTGTCTACAGCACATACCAATGCAGATGTGGAGCATGTAAGGCAGTTATTGCAAGAAGACTGTCATGTAACTGTGCATATGATATTAGAAGAGCTGAATTTGAATCTTGATATGTGTCATATGATTTTACGCAAAGATTTATAGATAGACAAGAGGACTGCTGTGATAGCAGCTAGGATCATTACTTGGTAAATGTAATTTTATATTTTTTATGACCTTTGTTCTGAAACTTTTCAGATAAAGGATGTATTTGCATTGGTTTATTCTAGTATTTTTAATGCTATAAATATACTTTGGGTATACAATTAAAACTAAAAATCTTTACTTAAACTTCTGTACTCTGAAATACCTGATTTCTACAGCTGAAATATTAATTATGTTATTTATATATTTGCTTATGACTGAGTGCAAGTTTATTAAAACTGAAAAGATGGATCTGGTGAGTATTTTAAAAATTTCTCTTTTCCCATGTTTTGTTTCCCCCCCCCCTGAGTCCTTCAAAATCTTTTGAAAAAGAACAATTAATGCTAGAATATGACTTACAAATTTCTTTGTCGTAAAATTTTAAATTTTTGCGGGAGCTGAATATTGCTTTTAGTATATTTTATTAAATTTTAGGAAACTTAGCAATGCATATTTTTTTAAATCTTTAAAACCTTTCCAATTCTTTTATTTTATTGCAGGGAGACTAACTATGGTTGTTGGTGCCATAGGTAGTGGAAAGTCTTCATTTTTATCTGCCATTCTTGGTGAGCTTCATGTAATAAGTGGATCAGTTTCCTGGAATAGGTTTGTTATGAGCCATTTAAATCCCACTTTTTTCCAATTAAAAATATATTTTATAAAGTAAAAATAATTCTTAATTTTCAAAAATTCAGTTTTTTTTTTAATATAAATTTTGTTGTTTTGTAGGGGTATGTATGTGTATTTGTATTAGTGATTCAAAAGTTGCACTCATCAAACTTTCAAAAATTGTGGAAACCCCAAAATAGATATTAATGGCAAATCATTTCACTGGATAACATCCTTATACTGTTACAAGTAATATATTGCTTGAAATTTCATTTGCAATTTGTGCTTGTTAGCTTTAAAAACCATTTGTTTGATGTCAAGATGGAAAATGAGTTTTCCTAAGATGAATTTTTATGATTGAGCATTACTTTGCAATGCATTTGTATAGAAATGTTGTTAAATCATATAAAAAAACCTTTTAAAATGTTCATGAACTTAGCAAGACAGCAATATATTACTTGATAATCTGATTTGAGAAACTGGAAGCATTCACCATAAAAATTAAGAGGCACCTTATCTCTTCTAAAGCCAGATAAAAGGGATTAAATAGGATTAAAATGGTACATTTGCCAACAAATAGAATGAGAGAAATCACATCACAGTCTGATTTTTTAATTAGGAAGAAATGCTTAATCATCAAAATTCATCTTGGTCTTGCATCAAACAGTTTTTAAAGCTAACAGCATAAACTGCAGCTGAAATTTTAAGTGGTAAATTACTTGTAACAATATAGGTATGTCATTCATTGAAATAATTTCTACATTTTTGTAAATTTAATATGCACAATTTTTGGATCACCCTGCATGTAAAGATTTTAAGTTTACTTAGGTAAAGCTAAAGGGACAAACTTAATAACGTGAATTTCTCTCATCTAGAGCTAATTGATAGTTTATAAACTTTGTTTAAGCATAAGAACAATAATGTGTATAAAGACTAAAATATGTGACAGATTGGAATAAATTACGAGGAGCATTGAAATAAATACAAGTAAATGCCTGAATATTGAAATAAATATCAGAATCAAAAACAATCCTCAAAGTCTGGATTGCAAAATCAAGAAGTTAGTCAGATGCCAATAATGTCTCTTTTTTAGGGTGTCCACATTTCCTATTCTACTTAAATTATCCTTTATAATTCCAATTTCATTTAACTCAGAACAAAGCGTTTTACAAAATAATGAGTAAATTAAGCACATGCATACATGATAAAAAGGTGTTAAAAGCAAAATTAAATAAAATGCACGTTTAGTGAAATTACTGTACAAAATACACTGATTAAATTAGTAAGTAAATAGATAAAATAAACAAATGCATAACAATACAAATCACATGAAAACAAAATTATATGCAAATAATCACAAATATTTGCATAATTTACAATATATTAATGAGGAATTCACTTTGTATCATGTTATTATTTTCTGTGTGAAATTATAAATTTACAAGGCACAAAAGAGTACATGCTTGAAAAGAGGTTTACGTTTTACATATTATACATTCATAAGGTGTTACATTATTAGTGCAATATGGCCAAGATGCTAATTTCTTGAAAGGTGTGTTTTTAATTACCTAATCAATATTGTACCTTTGCAAAATCTGTACTCTTTAGACTCAAGTTATCTAGTTCATTCAAATTAAGTATCATCTTTTCTGCTTGCATGAGAAAATATTCAACAGTGGCGTAGCTAGGGGGCGCAATGGGGGACATCTGTCCTCTGGCGCAGCATCGACAGGGCGCCAAATTGTAATTAAGAAATTGTAGAATGAAATGTTTTCCATTCTTGGCACACAGAAGGGGACACAAAATCTTCAGTTGTCTCCGGGTGCTGAAATCTCTAGCTACGCCTCTGTTCTTTAAACTCTTGAATGTGTACTGTAAACAGGAACTAGAAAAAGCAATTTTCTAACTCTTAGATATTACTGCTTGTTTTGCTCAGAAATTGTGCTTTTTGAGTTTTCAACTGTAGTTATATGAAGGTGGTGGTGGTATTTAAATATGGCAAAGCTCATTAGGGCTATCTGCCTAATGGGAAGAATGACTTCATGGAGGACTTTCTAAGAGACACTAGTTCATATTGGCATTAAATGGGATGCAAATCACGAAAACTAACCATAGACCCAGCCCATTCACTTGAGTTTTTAAACCCAAGATGAGGTCCCACTGAGTGAGCAATAAAGCTGAAAGTCTTCATGGCGGCAAAGCTGCTCACCCAGTGGTCTCCTGCAGCTATGAGGAAAGGAGTAGTATAACAGTGTAAGTATGAATAGATGGCCTCAGGAAAGTGAAGAAAAAGCCAGGTTTGGCTTAAATGATCAGAAAATACAATTATACAAAGTTTTTTCAAAAAGAAAAAGTTTATTCGAGCGGAATAACATTTTTATGGTTTGTGATAATTTTTAAAACAATCTTTCATGCAAAGTGAAAGATTGTACTCTTTCAGATTTGTGTTTCATGGCATTTTTTAGCTTTGGTACAAACTCTGCAGGGCTTTATCAGATGCAGATTTTTTTTTCAGTAGGTGGAATACTCTGTAAATGGCTTTTTAGACTAGAATCATAAAAAGTTCTATGGCAATCAACATGTTAAAAAAAGCTAAAAGTGTACAGTTGATGAATATGTTAGAAGAATTGATAAAATCAGCTTTCCTTGGCAACTAGCCATATATGATGAAAAATTAGCTGTTTGAAATTTAGAATAAGAAATTCTTCTTTCTTACAATGATAAAATACTGGTATGAAGACTTTATGAAAATGCTAATACTTTTCATTGACTTGATGGCTATTTTAGTGCTTGTTCTCTCTGTTAATGCTATTATTTATGTTAATTTTTAAGGATATATTTAATTGCATTTGGATATTTTTCAGTATATTAGTAAGCCATGCAATTCACTAAATATCTAATTAATATACTGAAAATAGTTTTACCCATAATTAAATAAAAATCTCAGTTGCTTTCATGCCTATAATAAATATAATCAAAACGTCATGTTGAATTAATTTTAATTTACAGTTCACCGCAAGTAGCTTATGTACCACAGAAACCTTGGCTTATCAATGCAACCTTAAAAGAAAACATCTTATTTGGACAACCATACGATGGAAGACGGTAATCATTTTATGTAACTGTGTGTCATTTAAAAATGACACAGATTTATTAAAAATAACTATATCTACCTAAATTGTTTTTGTATAGAAATTTTAATTATTTTTAATTTAGTCTTGTATTTTATTTATTTATTTATTTATTTATTTATTTTTGTCTAATTTCTGTATTAAGGATAAATACTTAATTTCATGAACCTATTCTAAGAGATGAACCATTGGTGATTCCAGCTGATTTTAGACTTTTTAGAAGGAAGTTTGGCTTAGAGAGTCATTAAACACTATGTTTGTTTTTGTTAGTGGAAGTACTGATTACTTTCAGAAGTGTCTTAGTAGTCACCATGAAAAGTTTCACTATATTTACTTAATGCAGCTTCATATTGGATTTCATACACTTTCTACTGAATGAGTAGGTTAAAAGATTATAGCATCTCATATTCTTTGCAAACATAAACTAATGAGAGCTGGCAGACTGTGTGAAGAATTATTACTCAAGTCTTAAATATTGCAAAGTCCATAAAAGAGTGTAAAGAACCGTTTGTTAACACAATATAAATTTCACAGATGGCACCAACTGATGGTACAGAAGCCAACACTTTTGGCTTAATTCAAAACGTAATAAGTAACGTCAAATGAAAGATAATTAAATTATTGTAATGGCCTTTGACAGGTTCCTTAACATGCAGGCAGGCTCTAACTTCTAAAAGTTGGTTAAACAAACCTTATGGTTAGAAATGCTTAACATCACAGAAAACTAATGGCTATTAAATCAAAGATAACAACATGATCTTTAAGCTGCCATAACACAGTCTCAAAACACCTTCCAAAACCTTCTCTTAAATACTACTGCTTTCTCCTTGTTTTGAATATAGGCATACTAGCTTATTTATATTCTCTGGCAAGAAAGTGTGAGTTGAAGGAGAATAAAAGGAAAGTTGTTTTAAAATAAAATTGATTGTTAGATAAATTAGATGAATCAGCACAACATGGCCATACATTTATTCTATAAAAATTATATTTACTATATAAATATATTGGTACTACTTGATTTTCATGGCCTTTATTATCATAAAAGCACCAAGATTATCACCAAGTTTAAACTACTTGCATATAATTTGTGGCTGCCATATCTTCATGATATATATCAGACGATGTTAATCTGTACCCTTTTCCTTTTTATTTCACCATTTACTAGATCCATGCAGTCTTTGTATGTTTTGAGTGTAAGAATCCATTGGTGGATCAATAAAATTAAATATGTGATTCACAGTTAAATGACTGTAATTAGCCTTTTCAAGATTGTCTGTTTTATAGGCTCATCATAAATCTGAATATATTGTAGACCTACTATGTAGTCTACAATCGTTGATATCAGTGTGCTTGCTTCCGGATTTGGAACCTGTGCAAGAAAGCCATTACCACTTTCACAGCATTACTCACCAGGTATCTGTTGTTGTGAAAGTACCCTGCCAGCATTGTTTTTTACCCACGTGAACAAACTCTCATGAATTTTGATTATATTATTGCATTTATTTCAGTGACTTGTTATTTTATTTATTATTTATTGTTGGATTTATTTCAAATATATTATTGTACTGAATTTTGTATCATTTATTATTGTCTTATTTATTGTTTATTATCATTTTTCATCAGTTTTGGCAAATAAAAGTCAAAAGTGAAAGTATTTATGGTTGCCCTTTGTTTGGTTACCTTTCTTTTACACAATCTGATGGTTTATTGCAGGAACCATGAAAATCAACTAGTACCAATATATTATTATTTTTATAAAATAGGCTTTAACATTATATATTGATATATTATTATTTATATATTTACATTTTTTTGTTGTTGTTGATCCAGTTTTCGTTAGTCTGATCATAAGTAGACTAATCTTATCAGTTTTTATCTTTAACTTGTTCTATATTAGCTACACTTAAATTTTTCTTAACACAAAAGATCACCTGATTTCTTTCAAAACTAGATCACAAACTAGATTTTGAATTATTTTGACTAATGTCTTTTGTGGTGGTGGAAAAAATTTTATCCAAACAGATCACTTATTCCAAATTTGTCAATTAAGAAAATTGCTTATAATTATTTTTTTTCAGTTCACTGAATTAGCTTATTTGGTTATTTATGTTTTATCTTTACATCTCTACCTAATATGTCCTTTTTTTAATTATGTTGACTATTTTAGACTTCATGCTTTTTTATTCAAAATATTAGGTTTTATTATTCATTTCTATGAGACCAGTTTGTGGCTGTCAGACTGCATGTGGACCATTAAGGTCTTTCTATGAGGCTGGGTTAACAAAATTAATTATCATTAACCAATTAATATATATATATATATACCTGGATTATTGTTTTTGAATTTTTTTTTAAATTAATACCACATGATTCTTGAAATAAACAGTATTTATTTTTCCAGAATACTGTATTCCTAAACACTGTAAAATCCCTCGTAATTGGCACCCAGTTAACTGGCAGTATCAAAATAATGACGCTTTTGAAAGTATAAATTTAAACAGTCGATGAGATTTTTTAAAAAAAATTGTGTAACGGACTAACAATCTGAATGCTTAAATTTGGAAAACATATGTGTTATGTTTCTGATACTCAATCTAACTAGCCCACCAATGAATAATAACCTAACATCCAATGAATGATCCATTATCTAAAGGAACTGTTGATCCTTTTTATGCATCAGTGTGTGAAAGTTGAAGCTAGTGTCTATGACTTTCAGAAACTTCACACTGAAAGACACCATATTGCCTTTGATGCATATTGCATATTACATTTGACTAACCTTGGAAGATATAAAATATGTTACTTTACGTCGTTGTTAGTGTAAATTGTGGCCAGTAATCATGCTGGTAAATGATCAGTCAAATGACAAAGATTCTCTTGATTTCAAAGCACATCCAGTAACTTGGATTTAGTTACATATTTGGAGAATATTAGTCTTTTTGAAGAGGTGGTGCAAGTTTTTGGAGGGATTTTGGACAATTATGCTTCCATCACTCTCAAGATGATGACAAAATAATTGCACTTGTACTGAGAAATAAGAAAGATGAGGAGGGGGAGGATGCAGATATAGCCCAGCATGCAGAGCAAGAAAGCGATGTTATTAGAAGCTGCTGAAGGACTTCAGATTTTCATAGGATTTGTTGAGATATGTTCATCTGTGTTGGTGTATGATGTTATAAAGTTTTGTTTTATACACAACGAATTTTTAAAATTGTATTGACAATCTTGCAAGCAGACTAACACCCAAAGTTGCATGTCTTTATACCATGAAATTTTAAGATGCCATATTTATTATCAAATAACTTTCTTTGACAATAAATATAGTAGTTTTAAAATGTGTGAAACTTTTCTTATCTAAAATATAAAGTCATGATATGTGTTTTAATTTTAAATAATCTGCGTGATTTTCGATATTATTTATTTAATTTTGGCACAACAGATTAAAACTTTACGGACTTTGCATGCTGTAATATGGCATCACAAAATATGAACAGTTAAGTTCTAGGAATAAATATTCAATTATCCTGAAAAATCTTTTATCGGGAATTGGTGTGGTCCCATTACTGTCGGTTGAAAGGGATTCTACTGTATTTACAAAACATAACATTTTGTGAAGCTACCAGCCCTGAGACAAAATTTAATTAAGGGCCTAGAAATTGACTACTACTTGCTGAATTTATTGTTCCCCCCCTTGATTTCTAACACCATTGCAAAGTAATTCTTACATTCTTTTTAATCTTTCTATGTTTGTGTGCATGCTTTCAAAATTTCTTTTTTTGTAATGAGTACATAAATATGTAAATTTACTTAAAAATTGCCTGCCTTTTAAATATGAAATGCTTTCTGCTGATCTTGTAACAAAACATAGCAGTTTGCAATGCAGTTGAATATTTAACAGTAGAAAGTAAAATTTAAAAAAATTAATTTATCCTTTTTTTGAAATAATTGTTTATCATTGTTTTGTATTTTATAAAGATACTTTTTTTTAATAAATGCTTTGCTATTTTGGTAAAAGAATCTTAAACTGAAAAAATGAAGACATCAGTAAAAAATTCTCGCCTCATACTTCTATTGAGGTATATCTTTAAAAATTTTTTAATTAAAATATTAGTAATACTGAATTTTAAAATACATCACTCGAAATTATTTCTGTGATGATTAGTAACTATGTTAGTAATAATAAGTTCTATTCTGATTTTTGTATGATGAATAATGTTCTAATAAATTTTAAAATTTTTGTATCATATTTTAAATTACATGTATTTTGAATGTGATAGGTATCATCAAGTAGTTCAAGCATGTGCCTTACAGCCAGATATTGATCTTTTACCTGCTCGAGATCTCACTGAAATTGGCGAAAGAGGTCTGAATTTGAGTGGTGGTCAAAAGCAAAGAATTGCACTGGCGAGGGCATTTTACTCTCCTGCTCGTCTTGTAATACTGGTACATAGATCTTATACTGTATTATGCAATCGTGTCTCTTACGTTCCATTTCCTTATTGAATTAAAATGGCATAAACTGTTAAATGTTATCTGAAAACTACATTTCTGAAAATTTTTATCTTATTTATTTTTTAAATAATTTTTTACAACAGTTATAAACTTTTTATATTAAGCTTTTGTAAGATATCATCTCATATATTCATCAATATTATGCTTGATAATATTATCCTGGCATTTTGGACATCTGATTCTGTACCAAGTTATTAATTTAAAAAAAAAAAAACAGGAATAATTTTACTGTGCATTTTCCTTTTTTACTGTGATATAAATGCAAGCAGTGTAAATTTTGAAAGTCAGAATAACGTATTTTACTGACTATTTTTGTTTTAAATAAGATTAATTCTCAGAAAAGTTTTTACTTTGCAAATTTTTAATTTGAATTTTTGGACTTCATAAATTCATTATTCATGTACAGTTAGTTGACTATTGAATTTCATTGAACTTGGAGACAATAGGAGGTGACTTCGAAATTATTGGAGTAACATACTACAGTTTTATATAATATTTAGTGATTAGACTACTAGTGTAACTTTCCTAATCAAAACTTGAAATATATTATTACGATATGAAATCAATAATTTATCCTTGTTGCTTTCCAAAAAGATAAATATCAAGCATTAATCCTAAATTTAATAAATGGAACTTCAGAGATCTATTCTTAAAAGCATCAGGCATCTTTTCCCTATTTTTCATCTAAAGTTGATGACATACTCATAATTTAAAGGATGCTTGTTTCATGGCAGACATGATGATTACAAAACATTCAAATCTTATGCTTGATTAAACAATCAGATTTGTATTTATGAATACCAACTATATTATATTTGATGCGAAATAACAGAAAACCTGAAGTATATAAACTAAAAAAACAGTCCATTTCTTCCTACTGACTTAACCTTAATAATTTAACTCTTTCGCATCGAAGTCTCCCAAAATGCCCGACTGTCCAGACATTGGCAGATCGCTCGAATGCCTGAATTATTTTCTACCATTATTATTATTAAGTTTCCATTATTCTGCAATAAACAAACTTAATTTCTTTTTAGACTGGCCCAGTTAATATGCCCTCTGTTAATTGTGAGTTGACTGTAAAAGAAATAAAAAATTAAAATTAATAGCATGATTGTCTGAGTAAGAAAGATTTTCAGTCATTGCATTTTATATTTTCAGACAAAAATATGATTAATTCAAAACTGGATGAAAGCTACTTCAAATTTAATACCTCATTCTCTACATTTTCATGTGCCATATGATTTAAATTCTTGTGCTGAGGCCTTTTTATTTATTAGCCATAGTTTGAGCACAATTAACACTGTATATAGTTTGTTTATAGTCTGGAAAGCACTGTTTGGGGCATTTTAAAATAAAAATATAAATAAATTGTATATAATATTACATGAAATATATAAAAATGATAAATTGCATATCCTTGAAAATTTCTGATTTTTTTAAACTATTTTATCTTTTCTATTTTAAGAATAAGAAAGTTTCTGTGAAATTTGAATTACTTGAATTAGAAAGCATATGAAATAAACAACTGTTTTAAATTACATGTACTGTTGAAATGTTACTGAGGAAAATTTTTCTGATGTTTTAGGATGATCCCTTATCTGCTTTGGATGCTCATGTTGGAGCATATGTTTTTGAACATGGTATTAAAACTCTTCTGCTCAGAAGGCATCGAACAGTGATATTAGTCACCCACAAATTAGAATTTTTGTCATCTGCAACTAAAGTAAGTGTTTTTATATTTCTCATATACTCTTTTCTTATAATCTTATTTTCCTATTCATAACAAAAAATAAATGTCTAAGAACTTTCTATTGATAGTTTATTATTGTAATAATTTTGGTAGTTCTGATTGCTTCAGTAAGTTCATTATTGTAAACTATATTTTATTTGTTTAGCTAGTTATATGAATTCAGGTGAAAATGAGTATTCAAGGATAAATGTAATAGGATATTTTGTTTATTTGTTTTGAGGAAAGGATGTCCCATTAATCTGTGTATAATTCAATTAAGCATTGAATACATGTTATCAGATAGCTTTTTTGTGTTTATACCAGCTTTGGATTTTGAAATGGTTTTGTGTTTTATGTTTTTTTTTACTCTGTATCAGAATATTATGCTACTTAAAAATTAGCAAGAATGCTATTCATTTATGCTTAAAAATACTGTTGATTTCAAAGGCAATCAAACACAGCTTTTCTACATATTACATTGTCGTTTACTCTTCAAATTTAATTTACATTTTTCAGTTAGTGGTTGAATGCAGTATATTCCAGAATAAACACTTTAGTTATAAGTACTGTAATGAAATATTTTTCAACTAACTGGAAGAATTCAGTTTCAGAATCAGAAGGAAAGTTTTTAAGATCTATCCTGTGAGTTGTTTAAAGTCTTTCATATGAACTGCATTTTTATTTTTTGAAATGTATGGATTATTATGTTTTTATTTAATTTTTATGTATGATTTGAAACAGTTTGCACTTGCTTTTAAACTTTAAGAAAACACTTGCTTTTAAATGAATGTGATTTTTACTTATAAAATCGTGTTTTCAAAAGCATGTGACAAAAAATGCAGTTAGCTATAAAAGTGCTAATAATTTTCATACTAAGTTATGCAAATTACTTCTATGATAAAGAATTTAAAATATCAAGAATGAAATGAATAGACTAGAGCCATTTTCAAGCTGCTTTTTTTTCCTCTGATTAAAAATTATATTTAGCATTAGAGTTGGTAAATTTGATAATCGTGTTCATTATATGAATATTTTTCATTATTTTAGCCTTTAATACATGATCATAGTGTTCTGAATTTGTTGAACTCTCTAGACGTCGTAAATTAATTACAATTAAACCCTGCTGTCATGAATGTGGCTTTTACAAACAAATGAACAATTAGGTCCTGTCCAATTTCCAAGACTTTTATGTTATTTTATGTAACTGTAGCAAGCTATACACCAATCTCTGTGGGGAGATCCTATTGTGTGACATATTGAACCAAAGAACCATTGGTTCATTGAGAAAAAGAGCTTGAATCAGTTCCTTGACTGAGCTCTCAGACAGTGCTCAAAGTTGATGCTTATTGATAGTTGTAAATGAGTATTTTAGATGAAAATGTTTAATTAGAGGAATGGATCTAAACCATGATTTTTAATGCTAAAAAACTTTTTGTGTAAAACTGTTAACATATGATAAAACTGCAATACAACAAAAAAGAAATTAAATAATTGCACATCATAATAGCTGTAATGAATATTTTTTAAAGTTGCAATTAATATCTTTTGAGTTTGGTTTGATTTATTTAATTATAGCAAAGCACACTAGGGCTATCTGCCTAAGGGGAAGGATGCCTTTGTGGAGGACTTTCTAAGGAAAATTGGATCATATACACATTACACATGGGGAAAACCACGAAAACGCCCATGCAGCCAGCCCATTCGTGGGATTCAAACCTCGGACCGAACTACCAGGGTTCAGTGACTTTACCGCTCGGCCACTGGTGGGCCTAATATCTTATGAGAGATATGACAGTGTTATTCAATTTTTCTATGATATTCATAAACCAGTTTTTGCATTATTTTGTGAGGTGATTCATCTTTTTTCTTATCAGATATCAATCAATCAAAATATTTGTGTGTTCTGCCTTAATTAAAAGCACTACACCTTGTCTCTGTATTAAGCAGGAGATGGGTTGTCAAGTCAAAGAGACCTCTAGAGAAGGTAATAAAAGTCTTTATTTCCACAATGCCTATGGGAGGCCACTGCAAGCCACTGAAGGATTTTTAAACTTTTGAACTCTGTCTTGTCACCCAATGCTGAGCTGCCTCTTCAGAGTTACCAGTCTTTGGGGCACTGAGACTATGAAGGATGAGGTGGCTATTTAGTGAACCTCAGTCTGGCCACCATGCTACCCACTTGAATATATTGTGACACTACCCTCTGGGACAGTATAGGCTGCCCTTTTGGCACTAGGAACAAGTTCTCTGTATTTTATACCTATGAGCTGCAAAGTCAGAATAGTATAATACTAAGCCAGTATTTGCAACCCCAGCGGGGTTATCAGACCAGATACAGTAAATCAAACTTTTGATCCCTTAAAGTTTATTATAGTGATGTTCAATTGCAGTTTCAAATTGTTATCAAATAATTTTTCTGAGCAAAGCATAATATAATGTAAATAAAATGAAGTTTTATTTTTATAGGTAATACTGATGGAAAATGGAAGTATTAAAAAGCAAGGACCACCTAAAGAACTGCAAGCATCTTTAAAAGATTTAAATTTTAATTTGAGAAGACCTAGAAAACCTGTTACTGAAAATGTTGCCGATGGAACTTCCAGAGAAAGACATAAGCTTGTCCGATTGCTGTCAAGACAAACTCTGTACCGTACCGTCTCTACTCAGGTAAAATATTGCATGTACATACTTTTTTCTTATTTTAAATATAAAGTAAATGGCTCAGCCAATTTTCAATTGATGAAAAAGGAGCTTTTAAGATTTTTTAATTATCATAATTTCTGTAATTATTTAATTAATTATAAAAAAATGGATTATTATTATTTTAGGACATTAAACCTCGTGCAAGGATGGTGTCCCTAAGTCGACAAATGTCTCATGATCCATCTAGTCCCCTCCCCTGCCATGATTGGGGTGATCATGATGATCCTCTGCCTCCAATTGCTGACCCTGATGACCCAGATACTGGTCACAAACTCCTTAATCGTATGAAATCAGTTGAAAGTCTGCGGTCACGATCTAGTGCTAGTTCAGCTAGTGTGGTTAGACGTTCTTGGAAATGTCCACCGTCAAGACTGAATTCTCGAATTTCAACTCGTACAGATGATCTCATAGAAGAGGAAGATGAAGATGAATTTGATGAGGAAACAGATGGTGAGGATTATTTATGCGTAATTAAACTATTTCATTTTTATATTTTTAGTTGATTTCCCTGACCTCGTCTTTATACTATCACAACTATTTGTTGGGTGTTTTTCTATTCATAAATTGTTGAAGGCAATCTAACTTTAGGATTAACATGTATTAAATTTGATAAGCAGTATTAATTAGCTATATTTATTCCTATGTATGGCTTTTTTAATGCTCAAGAAAATCATATAGTATGTAACAGACACTATATGGAAACAGCCAGACAATATATCTATGAAAATTGTATTTAAAATATTATTTTTGCAGATAAAATTGCTCGGGCTTGTGAACAAGTTCAGCTGCCTGATGGAAAACTCATAAAAGAGGAAGAAAGAGAGAAAGGCAAAATCTCCAAACAAGTTTATCTGACCTATATGAGAGCCTGCACCTTGGCACTTTCTCTGCTTGTTATTTTCTTGATTGTTATCACTCAAGCTATGAAGATGGGTACAGATTTTTGGCTTTCTGCATGGTCTGAATCATCAGTTGATGAAGATGACCTGGAGGAAGATGATTTCATGGATGATGCTAAGGTTATAGGTTGATCATAATTTTACTAAAACCATTTTTAATAAAATTGCAGATTTTTACGATTGTAATTTACATAGAAAATGAAATCTGTATTTTCATTTTGGAGTAGAAGAGCCTAAAGTATTATGTATTTATGCTTTTACTTAGAATTGTAAATGCTTATTATTTTAAATATTTACTTTCATAAATCATTGTCACTAGTGTATGAAATTATTCTATTCTAAACATTTAACATAATTTTTTTTCCTGTTTTTGTAATTTTGTAATTATAAATTAAAAATTAGGAAAAAATTCTGATTACAATATGTGAGTTATTGAATTTAAAGTTCTTCTGCAACCCATACGTCTTTTCCAGTTTTTAGAAAAACTGCAAAATTAAAATGATTGCAAATGACTCTTAATATTAACATGCAAATCGTCTATTAAACAGAGATCTAGAATATTCTGGAAAGAAATGAGTATTTCTGATTTTTTTTGGTACATATTAAGCTTAAGATTTCCAATTTGAAAAAATTATCATTTACTTATTTACTTCTGTAATGAAAATAGGAAAATATTCACAATTTTTCTTGTAGGTTTAATCTAAAGAAAATAGGTATTGCCATCTAAAAGACAGAAAATATAAAATTATATTGCAAATTAAATATTATAGCTTTGAATGTATGCATTTCTTTAAAATTTCACTATTTAATGATGTTGATGTATGTTTTTTTCTTTAAAGCAGTTCTTTTTTTTTACATTATGTCTTCATAAATTATTTTCATTAATGTTGTTATGTTCTATTTTTTTAATCCCTTGTACTGAATTATATTCTGCCTGTAAGTTAATTAATGAGGTTTCCATTAAAAAAATTTTTTTTTTTTTTTTTTTTTTTTACATCTTCAGTGCCAGTAACCCAATTCTAAGTTGATCAAGTGGATATTCGCATTTTTATAAGCTCTGCTAGCTTATATAAATTCTTAAATAAAAATTTTTAAATTAGCCATCAAACTAGAAAAATGACCTTTTGGATTTATAAGAGATTTTCATCACTAAATCGTTTCAAGATGTCATTAAATAATATCATGGTCTTCAACTGATTTTAGTGGAGTGAGCAGTTTAGAAAAACTTCTTTAATAAAAGAGATAGTTACTTTTTAAGTCTTTATTGTTTTCCCTTTTGCTGGGCAATACCAGTAACTGCTTATTTGATCCAATTTTTCTTTCTCGAATTTCTTAGCATATGACCCATAAATGTTAACTTTCTTTGTTTACAAAATGTTTAAACGTTTATGAAGAAATTTTAATATTATAAGAAGCTTGTTATAAAGTCATTGTATAAAGTGTACCTTCTGTATTTTAATATTTGTTTACTTTCAGATGGAAGAAATACATTATTACATAGAAATTTATGCTGTATTGTCTGCTGCAAGTATTGTATTAGCATTTGTAACAAATTTAGCAGCTCAACTTACATCTTTGAAAGCTGTTAGAGTGCTGCATGATAATATGCTGTTCAATGTCGTTCAGTGCCCTTTAAAGTAAGTACATGACTCTTGTTAGTTGATCATTCATGCAGTCAGTCTTAAATTTAAATGTTAATATATTTGATGGTGACTGTAATGAACACTTATTGTAGTAACCATTCCATTACCATGAGTAGTGTAAAATGTATCTTACTGATGAAACCGTATTGAATCCATTTCCATCATAGTGTTTTCACATCAAGAAATTATTTTTTTAAGAATGCAGAGTCGTTATAAGCTTTTCTTGTACTTTGTATAATGAAAAATTCACTCATATATATATATGTTTAATATTATATAAAGTTACTTTGTGTAGTTTTTTACTTAAAATTTAATCATGTTTATGTAACTTTCCTTAATATTATTTATTTTACATGTTATAAAAGTGGATTGTTTATCAATATGACAAAGCAAATCATTTAAAAAGTTGTTTTACCTGTAGTTATTAACATTTTGCAAAATTTGTGTTTCTACCTCTTGTGTTCATTGCAGTCCACAAGAAAGTCAAATTTTATGATAATGAAAAAATTTTACAATAGCGTAGATTGAAATTCTTTTATATATATATATTTCATTCATTCTTTTAATTGATTCAGCTCGTAGTTTTGTTTTTTAAATAATAATTATTTTTCAGCATTTTAATGTACCTATTTATACCATATTACGTTTAAAAGCGAAACATAGAATCAAACAAGATTATGTCAGCTTTATGTGAAAGATATGAAGGCAAATAAATTGTTTTTTTGTTCTGTACAATGTGATATCAATTATTTATAATCAGTCATTTGTTTTTAGAGAACGTTTTATAGCAAATTTCCTGCAGAGGAAATTCCAACTGTGTTACTGCATTCCAATTCAGTGTGTTTGCTAATTATTATCTGCATGATTTTCGGGATTTTCTCCATGTGCAATGTGAATAGGTGCCACTTTTCCATAGAAAAATCCTTCATGAAGGCATTCCTTGCCTTAGGAAGATAGCCTCCATGTACTTTACTATATTTAAATAACCAACTAACCTAATTAATGTGCAATTTCTAAACTAAGAAAAACAGTAACTCATCAAAGCCTAGTGTAGTTATCCAGTTGGGAAGAGTGTGATAGATACAGTGCCAATGGTTGAATTGCAGATGTATTTACTTAATGTGTACTTTTGGGCAGAGGTAACAGAAATATTAGAAGTTTTAATTTAAAATTTTGATTGATATAAAATTAGCAGTGTGTCCACAGAAAAGGAAAACCTTTTAAATTTTTTAACTTATTTTACAGAAGATCCTAAACCAATTCTAATGTAACAAAAAAATGTAACAATAATAGTTTAACTTTTAAAACTGTGTTTATTCTAAATTGTATGTTTACATAATAATATATTTTGCTTTGGAAAAAAGCATCTTTGATGATAATTAAATGATAATTAAGGGCTCTTTCAAACATAAATAAGAGTTTGTTTAATAAATTTACTATGTGATAAATGCCAGGAAATATCTTTGGACATAAATCATCTTCAAAATCATTTTTATTTGTTGCCTTTGCTACACACAGAAAAGAAGATAAAAATCTTACAATCTAGTAAATTTTGCCACTGTTAAACATTTCTGTAGTAGAATACAGCATGTTTCATTTATATTTTTTACATATTGTTTGACGTACAAAGAAGTATTGAATGCATATATAGGGCAATATTAATAAAATTGAAAATAAAGAAATTTTTGATGAATGATCCTCAGTAAAAGTTTATTTGGTTATTTAAGTTTCAAAATAACTGTTGCAATTCATTGAAGATTATGAAAAAATGAATAAACCGTATTTGGTGTTGTTATTGAATATAACAAATATGCCAAATTTCAAAACACACCAATACATAAAATGGAAAATTTTGAATAAAATACTCTAATTTCTTGCAGGTGGGCCTAGAAATATAGCTACTTTAAGGAGATGACAAGAATTTTATAGGTTATAATTCAAAATTTTGTTGAAAATTTTATAAAAATTACTTAAAAATACAAATTTTAAAGATATATCATAAAAAATGTATGAACTTCATTTGGATAGAATTCTGAAGGAAGGAATCAAGTAAGATTAATGAAAAATAGGTATTAATAAATATATACCGAATTCAGTTAACATTGGGGAGATAAAATTTTGAGAATGTTTTTTAGAAGAACTATCCAAGGAATTTTTACAAAACTTGGCACTTTGGCATAATTTAAGGAGAAGGATCAAAAAATAAAAATAATAATAATAAAAAAAAATCCTTATGTCATTTCAGAAACCATTCAATTTTGTGTCAAAATACTTCTGCTTAGAAGAACTGAAGATATAGAACTGTGTTTTTCTTTTTGACTCTGTGTACAGTATAGTCTGTCTATGAAATCACAAATGAGCCATGATTGTTTGCATGTTACCTCTCAGTGAATTTCTGTATCATATCTTGGTTGACAACTTGCATATTATTTAGTCTTCCTTTTTATGTTCTGCATTTTATTTTCACTAAAAATGTATTTCCATTAACTAGTATTTAAAAAAGCAAAATAATATTTTTCTTTGTTTGCAAATATAGTGAAAAGATTGTGATCTGTTTTTAATTCATTTTATGATATAAATATGTTATGTAATGCAGCATTTTTTAACTATCCCTATTTTTAATTCTAGGTTTTTTGATACTACTCCTGTTGGCCGAGTTATTAATAGGTTTTCTTCTGATATGAGCACTATTGATAAGGTTTAATATATATTTATAGTTTTAAACATCTATTATTTAAGAACATATCATTATTAAAAATTTGTGATGTAATTTGCTTAACTCTGATTTATGTACTTAAACAAAATTTATTAAGTAAAATTTTATATAATTACAATACTGCAATTAAAAAGTTAATAATGTATGTAACTTATGAGATTTAACATGAATTTGGTATTAATTTCAGTAAAAGGAAGCTCATTTCAATTCAATTGATAATGTAATAAGAATTATGAAACATAGATTTCTGCTGTTTCTGCTAACTTTAGAAGATTAATATAGTATATGTACTCTTTATACACTATCTAGCTCAAAGTATCCGAACACCCAGTGGTATGGACTCGGAGAGTCATGAGGCATATACTAATATGATGCTGGTCTCCCTTTTGTATTGTTGACAGCCTGCACATGTCTGGGGAGACTTTCCACTAGTTTTTGATAGGTGACCATAATTGACTTCCGGTTAGCTGAAGTGAGTGCTTGCAGTGAAGATGGTCAATTTGGCTACCTACATAATCTGCATTCTAATTCATACCAAAGGGTTTCTATGAGATTTATATCGGGGCCTCTGAGAAGGCCGGTCTAAGTTTTGAATACACATTTTGTCAATCCATGGCTGCACAAATCTCGATATGTGAACGGACCAGTTATCCTGCTGGAAGAGAAATGGGCCTTCCTTGGAATATTGTCATAGAGTTGGGAAACGAACCTTGTCCATAATGTCTATGTACATTTCAAAGTTCATGTTTCCAACCACAGGAACTAACAGACCCAGCCCAAACCATGAAAATTACCCCCACATCATGATGCTGTCAACACCAAACTTTACAGTCAGCACAATGCAGTCACTTAAAAAGCACTCACTGGGTATCTGCCAAACCCAGACATGCCCATCAGACTGTCGGATTGTAAAGTGAGATCCGTTACTTCAAAGAACATTTTTCCATATCTCCACAGTCCAATGACGATGAGCTCCACAGCACTGCAATTGATGCTTCACATTCTGGGGAGTGATAGTCGGCTTGTGAATGGCTGAATGACCATGAAATCCCAGGTTGTTTTTAACTCTGGATGAACAGTTTAGCTGGTAGCACCAGTTCCTGATGGACTTTGGAACTCCTGAGTGATTTCAACCAACAAAGACTTGTGAATTTGTTTCACTAACCTTTTCAGAGTTCTATGACTAATTTTTTTTGGCATGCCTCTTCGTTTTTCTGTAGTTTCACTGTCTCAACATTATTACTTCATGATTACATCACCCACAACGGATTTTTATTCCTGTAGAATGTCTGAAATTTCATGAACTAATTTCCCACAAAGGTGGCATCCTACTATATTGCTACAATTAAAGTCACTAAGCTCCTTTGACTTACTGATTGTCTCACAAGCGCATAAATATGACCTGATAAACTACTACCAACATATACCACTATGTAGCAACAAACCACTGCATAGCTTTTGATTATACATCAAATTATGTCACCTGCGAGATCCACTTCTTTAAATGGCTGCCTGTATACTTTTGGCCAGATAGTGTATAACTAAAGAATATACTAATCGTATCTTAAAAATAAATAAATAAATAAAAATCTAATCGTATCTATAACTAAATCTTAAAATAAATAAATAATAATAAATAAATAAAAAATAAATGGGGCTTCAGATTTTGTAGCATAAAGGAATTATAAAGTTGAACATGTAGATTTAAAACTTGATGGGAAGCAAATGTATTTAATAATTACCGATTCAAAATGATTCAGTATAGAGTGGTAGTAACATAAAAACTCTCAGGGAGACTGAAAGGAGGTAAGATTTTTTTAATTTTATGGTACTTTTCTTTAAAATAAAATGTTCCAAATGTCTGTGTAAATATTTCTGAAAGTGCATTAACAAGCCAATGATAAAAGTAGGTAGTGAAACAAGGGAAAAGATAATTGAAACAGAATAAATCTTTAGTATTTATTAAAGTTGATACATTAGTTTTATTTTCATTCAGAACTTGTATGCCAGATTTCAGGGGTAGCTAGTAATGCATGTAAAGCAATATAATGCAATAATATTATTTTTTTATTCATGGATATGCTCTTATGTCATTTTGTTTTAGATACATGCCTATTCAAAAATCATGATATTAAATTTTAAAATGCCTTTTTTTTTAATATTGTATTTTAGTATGGGAAGAATCTCATTTCACTCTCACTGATATTTTTATTTATTTATTTCCAGAAACTTCCTGTAACATTACCAATTTTGTTGAGATTTATATTACTTTGCCTGTCTGCCATTGTTGTGGACATGATTGTCACACCATACTTTATCGTTGTTGTTGTACCTGTTGCTGCTATTTATTATTTCCTGCAGCACTTTTTCCGTTTTACATCAAGGTGAGACTATTTCTATATATGATTTTGGCAATTTTTAAGCTAAACTAATGAAGTTATAGTCGGAACAATGCTTAAATTCTTGTTCTTTACCTTTTGCTTTCTAAATAAAGCAAGATTACCTAAATTTAAAGCAAAAGCAAATAATCATGATAATTTGAAAAGGAAGCCAAATAGAGATGACAGTATGTACTAAATGTAGAAGGTGTTATGTAACATATTAAGAAAACATTTTATGACTTGCCTATTAACAAACATTACCTCTTGTACTTGTGTGTGACGAAAAAAGTGTGAGGAATTCAGTATTTATTTTAAATATTAATTGTGAGAGTTCTCCAAATTTTTTTGAAAATATGTGCTTAAGGAAATTGTTTTTCTAATAGAGAACTTCAGAGGTTGGATTGCATTACAAAATCTCCAGTTTATTCTCATTTTTCGGAAACTGTGTCTGGACTATCAACTATTAGAGCATTTAGGTTTGTGCACTTTTGTTATCAATTGCTTTTATTTTGCAGAAGTCTAAAAATTATGTTTTAAATAAACTTTTAATTTTTTATTTTGTTTTTAAATTTTATTTTAATCATCCTTAATTCGTATTTCTACTTTTAACAGTAGGTTCAGAATTATGTTTTTGTAATTCTGACTGACATTAGCTTTTAAAAAATTCTAACATTTTAAAATTGTTATTTTGAATGTGTTTTGTTGAATTTCCATCTGAGGAGCATCAAACATTTTGTATTTATTTTTGATGTGCACAATAAGGAACCTTTCCTATGTTAATGTACTGTATTTAGAAAACAACTGATTACTGCTTATATGTCCTCTGTCATCATTATGATACCATACAAGCTCCACTGTATGGTATCATCTTATGGTCACCATGGTCAACATTTGGTATGTCACACTAACCAAAAATTAAAAACTTTAATATACTGAGTTCATCTTTATTTGACTATTTTTTAGATTTTTTAACTTTTATTTGATAAAATGTTCATTTTATGATTATTGCATGTGAATTTTACCGTACATAATATTGTTGCGTTCTTTCTTACTTCTGACAGCAATTGTTACGTTATTTTCTTCCTTCACGTTCGTACATACGGGGTTTGTATGGATTTGCAGTGAATAATGATGACACTTGATGATGAAGTATCAAAACGCACTTTATTTACCAATATTAATCAGATAGCTTCAAAAGCACTTTTATAGTCATTGAACTGTTATAAACATGCTGACACGTTCAGCGATACAGCCTTCACACTGTCAGGCAATAACGGTGGAGACAGCTTCACTGCAAAGCACCAGAATACAGCTCCTGACTCTGCTTGGTCGTTCTCGGAACTCCACGTACTCTCGAGACTCTCCATGCCACAACTCGCAATGCACTCGATGATACACAAGAGTATAGCTCTCAACTCAGCACAGTCTAAGACAAAACTCGACAATGCACTAATTCGCGATACACTAAAAGACTCTCTCGATGCACTCGACAACCAATCAACTTGGCGCTAGACTTCGAGACACTCGCTCAATGACTGACCATCAGCTCGCTAGACGAGACACACCCTAATTGACTGCAGACCAGCAAGGTTTATATAGCTTTTTGCTTGTGTTCGAGAACATTCTGAGCTAAACCGGTAAGAATTCGTTCCAGAATGTTCTCCATCCGTCCATGGTATATCGACGATTTTGTTGCCAAATGGGCAATTTCTCACCAAATGTAGCAACCCTGTTTTCCTTTGTCATTTTATGGCAACCCTAAAACTGCTTTGCGGGGAGGCCATCTTACCGTGCCTGTACATTTCGTAACAATATCTGTAATGCGATTTTTAAATTATCTGTAATTTTAATATGATATTGGTTTTAATTTGATGCTAAGGATGACTAAAAAGGCATAACATTATTTTTCATAGTTAACATAATGCAATAATAATTCCCTATTGAAAAACAATTAATGCATCTAAGAGCAGGCAAAATATTGTAATGTCAATATTTTTTAGTCTTCAGTTTGTAAATTGTCTTTTGTGCATCATATACTCAAATGGTAATCATGTTACAGAAAATCTCCTGTGAGGGCTTTATGACCTTAATGGATTATCTTAATTCTTCATTAGGGATGGCACATGTGCAACCTTTCATTGTACCCTAATTAAAAATATCTAATACATGATCTCGGCACTGCTGGTGATGTGACATTTTGTAAGTGGTCATCTAGTCTGCTGAAACTTGTAAATTTTGTTTCTTCTGTGGAATGCCAAAAATACTATGTATGTGTCTCCTCACCTCGAGATTTACCAGAATTATTGATATAGTGGCCTACTGAAAAAGGTCACTGACAATGACTTACTTCATTATGTATTTACCATTTGGATATATATAGTTCATATATAGGATGAATCTGAAAAAAAGTGGGCAAAACTTTATGGGGTGATAGAAGCAGCTATGCAAACAATATTCATCATAGAAAGTTTAGGCTAATTGCATGCTGCTAGCTGGCATTGTAAATATTATAAAAGGGTAGGTCCTCGCACCTAATGGCATTTTTGTACTGTGGATTGTTGAGAAGATGGATGGTTATACGAACCATGAAATTTCCAGGGTGATGGCTTGGTCTAGATGGTCCCATAGCTCGGCCACCAAGATCACCGGATCTCTTGTGTTTGGACTTTTTACTGTAGGTCAGTATGAAAAGCCTAATCTATGAGTGCCCTACTAAAATGCAAATTAACAGTTGTAAACAAAAATACAGTGAATTTGTTTCTGTAGCAACTAAAAAGTGTCAACTGCCAAATCTGGAAAGCAAATAATAATAATAATAATAATAATAATAAATAAATAAATAAATAAATAAATAAATAAAAAATAAATTATAAGATTGACAGAAGAATAATAAAACAAACACAATGCTATTTATTTGTGCAAACCAAAATTACTTTCTTGCCAATCCAATATATAAAATTCCCATGTTACTCTAAGTGTAATTAATCTGATATCGTACAAAATGTTTTAATATTCCACTTGGGTCAGCTCTGTTACTAACCTCAACTGATAAACCATTTTAAACTTTCAGTGATCCCTTTTGGTTGACCATTATGAACACTTTCAGATTTTGTATATGTATTTTTTATCATATTTCTGTATTTAGGAAATACATATTCTTTGTTTAAATAAACTGATTAAATATATCTTGATTTTCCAGGTAATGTTTTATTTAGTATTTTTTTTTCTTTATGAATTAGTGTGGTTGTTTTCATTTCAGTTTATACATTTATTCTTTTGCAGAGCAGAAAATCGCTTTACAGAGATGATTATGACATGTATAGATGTCAATAATGCTGCATTTATTTTAGTCAATTGTGCAAACTGCTGGTTGGGCATTTCACTTGTATGTATACCTTAAACAATTTGTTAGTATTGTATTAAATTTTTTATAAGTACAAAATTTCTGTTAGGCTTTTTAAAAAGTTTTCATTCTTTCTTCACATAATGATCCTGTTAGTTTTCCCCCAATGTGTAGAATCATTAGAGATGCAGTATGTAAAAGATAATTTTTTAACGTTACTTGTTTTTATATATTAATGCTTAGATAAACATTAGAAATATATTTATTTGTGTTTATTATTATTTGTGTTTATTGTTTGATTGTACAAACTATAAATAAAACATGATGTATAAAACTATTATTGACAAATGCTGAATTATTTATGATTTCCAGAGCTTGAAAAAAAAAGTAATTAAAATTGGATAATTTTAATATTGTAAAATAATTACTTTTATCAGTTGTCAAATAAGCATTTAAGCATAAATTTATCAATTTTATTATCATTTTTTAAAAATAAGGAAAAACTGTATTTTGCAATTGTCTGTACCTAGATAAAAAGTAGCCAACTCTGTGAATTGGCAAGAAACATATGTTTGGCTCTTTTTATGTCTCTTAGGTACTTTCCTATACATAAATAATAACAATAAAAAAACATTTATTAGGGAAAAAACACAAAAGTCTTTATTTTATTAAAGTCATTATTTACATTTGTACTGCCAGAGGATACTATATAGTAAAGTAACTATTAAATATAAAGCATATAAATTTGTATGCACTTAAATATTATTATTGTCATGTGTGTATTAAAAAGTATGCCAAAAATGGGTAGTTCTGCTATAGATGAAACCGTGGATGAAGAAAGTACCGGGAAGTAAGTACCAGTAAAATTATCTTATTTAAACTTATATAATTTCCGCAACTGAAATGGTGTTATTCATATTAATGTTTTTTATACATATGATGTATTGGTAATTTGGTCTGTTAGTATTATTTATTAATCATAAGAAATATTGAATGAACTTGATTTTCATTGTTCTCTGTTCTTTTGAATTGTGAATAAATAAGGCACAATCTTTATAACTGCAGTGAATTATTATTCATATACTTTTAATCTTTCAAAAAGTTTTTCTAAAACTGCATTTATACGGTCAAAAGTCTTTAATCCGGACTCGTCGGGACTTCGGCGATTCTGGATTATAGATCATCAATTTAAATCTGGTAAGATGGCATGCAGAAATTATAAAATTAAAAATATGAAACTGTAATTTATTAAATAAAGAGCAGTTATTATCTAAAGGGTATCAAAATTTACAAAAACAAAACAAAAAAAAGCTTAATATTTATTTGTTTACTTTATTAAACATTTCTTTCAACGTGCGCATGCGTAAAGCATACATTACGCATAGTCGAAATTAGAATATTGCAACCAGAAAACTATTTGATGGTATTCGTGATATTTATAATGATGAGGAATTTGATTTAAATCATATCAAAGATGGAGTACGTCGAGATGAAATACTACATTTACTAAGGAATTATAAGCTGAATAAAATAAAAACATCTGCCCTGAAGATAAGGATAGTGCTGACAGATCAACTTCCAGTTCATTGTGTGCCGCGACATCTTCCCCCCCCCCCCCCTGGAGAGCAACGTGAAATTGATAAACAGATTTCGGAATGGTTAGAGAAACAAAGGATATGCCTTTATCCATTTTTTGCAGCAATTTCACTTTTTGTTTGATGGACATCGTAACATGCTTTCACTTTGTAGGTCCTTTGGCAGCTCCAGAATCAGAAATTCTTTTTGACATAATCGAAAGTTCAAGCTTACTTTTATAAAATTGCTCTAACAGTCTGCAAAACGTAATAAGCCAGATCCAATTAGAAGATTAAGGAACAATGCAATCTGCAACATTAACTGAAATAGAGAATTAGATAATTTTATCTTAGCTTATACCGTCCGTTATACATTAAACGCGCATGCGTAAAGGTATTATGCGCATGTGTCAATGCATTATGCATTCACGCATGCGCAGAAAGTTTGTAGCTTTGAGGTCTGGATTATAGATCATTCCGGATTATGGACGTCCGGATTAAAGACTTTTGACTGTACTAGTTTCAGTACTTTTCATACAGTCTTCATAATTTATAAAAATGCTTGTTTGGATATATTTTGTTGATCATAAAATTATGAAATATATATGATGAGATTCAGGTATCTCCATATATATTAAAACTTTATGTTTAAAAACAATCAAGAGTGTATATACAATTCAGGATCTTGATAACTTTCTGAAGGATTGAGTATTAAAATTTTATAAAATGTAATGCATAAAATTTGCTCATTATTATAAATTTAATGTTTCTGCTGATTTCTGCTGATTACAAAAGTAAATAAGCATTAATTATAAAATTGTCATTATAAAATACAAAAATTATTATCATAAATATAAAATTCTATAAAAATAATATCCTTTCATTACATCATTTAAAAGCTTGTATTTATTCCATTTGAAATTTTAAGCTTTTGTACTTTCACTATGCTTTCATTATGACATAAATTGCAAGTTTTTTTTTAGCAGTGACTTTTCCCTTCCTGTAAAATTTTGACTTCTCCTGCATTTAAATTGTATTAAACTGATATGCACTATATGCACAAATTAACAACCAAATATTAAAGAAACATTTATTATTGATTTGATAATCTCTTGAAAAAGTATTGCATTAAAACTTTTTTTAATAATCAGATGTGTAAAAGGAAACTGAATAATACAATGACAGTTCATGTCTAGCTGAATAGTTATAATTTAGACTAGCCATAAATTTTCCGTTTTCAGAAGAAATAAAAGATTATTCAGTATTTTAAAAGATTTACATCAAAAGTATGAGTGAAAATCAAAAATTACAACTATTGTTTTTCTAGTTCATTTGCACAAAGATGTTGAGCAAGTGCATCGTTTTTTTCACAGTCTCCTTTCTTTTCAATGCATTTGTTCCAGTGGTCCACAAGCTGGCATATACCTTGCAAGAAAAGGATATTTGAGTGGTTGTGCAACTATTCATGCATCACTTTCCTCATCTAGAATATTATCAGTGGAAAATAATTGACCTCATAAGCATCTTTGACCAGTCCAAAGAGATGATATGGTGGGAAGAGATGAAATCTAGATTATAATCAGGGCTACAGCTCCTCAAACTCCAAATAGTTAACGTTTTCAATGATCTGGCAAAGGTCTTGCACTTATGCTCTGTGATAAGCTTTGCTGCCATCTGACACAAATTTTAGGGAAGCTGAGCTTATCTTGGATGATTTGATAGGCAGAACCATGACTAATCTATAAAGAACACACTATATCATCAATGGTAACTTGCCAGTTCACCAGCACTATCTCTCCAGCTTGCTGACTCTTTTCATCAGTGGTGGAGTTTGATGAGTCTTCCGCTCCATCTTTGTGCATCATGTTTGTCTGACATTAAAGTTTCTTGATCCACTCACACACATTTCTATGCAGTACTATTTCTATATTATGTTAAACATCTCTGATGAATTTCAGCCCTTGATAGACCTTAGAATGAGAGAAATTGGATAATTGCTCTTTGTTTCTGTGTGATACACACTAGTAGCAGAGTGGCTGTGTTTGTGGTGGCACAGAAGCAACAGAATCCAGGTCAAATTGCGATCACATGATCACAATACCATCAACTTTAACATGCTCACTACCTATACATAAAAAGGAACCATCTCCCATAGGTTGATAGTATATTTTTGTATAGTAACCAAAATTGATTCCAGTATGAGAATTCAGGGTTCCTTTAATCAAAACTGAGTCACAGCTTCATTGAGTCATCGGTCTGTTAGAACAAGCCATATGGCTTATATATAAGCCAGTTGGTAGTGAACATGGGCAGAAGACAATGAGATAAACTTCAAGAAGTGTTATAGTGAAAGTAAAAAGTGCAGTTAGTTTTTACTAGTGAAGTGAAAGTGCAGTTATTTTTTAACTTTCACTCATATTTATGTGTCTTCACTTACATGTTTCACTCATATTTATATTTTCTCTGTGGATATTGAGTTCATAGGGATATTTAATGAAACCATAATAAATTATGGTTTATATAATTTTATATAAACCATAATTTATTATGGTTTATATAATCTATTTTAATATATAAGTATAAAATACATTAGTAGCATCAAGATTATTGTGATTACAGTTTTACTGAGTATGTATTGTACATTTTAGCAATCTATTTATATTTATTTTATATGCATTTCATTCCTTTAATATGAAAAAGGAATTTCATTTTGCTTTTTTGAACACTAACTTAAGTAGAAGAAAGGTAAAATACTTATTTTAGCAGCAATAAATGTATTTTTCAATGCTTTTTGCAGTGTTTAACCCTCCGAGCGTTATGGGTTTAGCCCTGAAATTTCAAAGTTCCTCAAAATGTCATGAATGAGTGGTATTTTCTTGATTTTAATTAAAAAATGACTCTCTCATTTGTACCTTGATTTCTTTTCTTCCAATATACATCCAAACCGAAATCAGATGCATTAAAAACTAGCAGAAATGATCATGTATAATGAATAAGAGTAAGATAAGTAGCATTCTTTAATAAATGTCAGTCATGTTATTGCTTTTGTAATATGGATAGGTAGAGGGAATATGTTATTGTTGAGAAAATAATATTTTTAATTTATACGGTTAGATTTCTTTGATATGCTTCATTTGTTAGATTTAAAATTAGTAGCAGTAGCTTTCTATATTGTACGTAATTTTGTATCAAAAAGGATTTAGTATGAAAGAATTAGTAGTAATGTTATTGTTTTTATTTTTAATCTTTTAATAAAGGAGAAAGCTTTGTTATATAACTAATAAAATCAATTATGAAAATTTACTTACTGATATCAGAAAAATTTGATTTTAGGATTATTTGGGAGGTTTTATTCTTTTTGTCGCAACTTTATCCTCTATGTTAGCATCAATTTATGGTCATGCTTCTGAGGCATTTGTTGGAATGTCTATGACTTACACACTTTTGGTACGTATAATTTTCTTTATATATTTTAAATAAATGAATTAAGATTTAAAATATAAATACAATTTGTACTTGTTATAATAATAACTTACTTAGTCTCTGTTCTATTACAACAATCACTGCAAAAAGTATCCAGCAGATGGGAGTGTATTAAATCCATTTTTTTCCCCTTGCTACCACTTCCTAAGGTTCTGTTTATTTCAAATGTCGGAGATCATTATATTGAAAGCTAATTTTATTTTGCTTCAAATTCAAATTCACTTATTCATAGTATTTATAGTAATATTATGTTTTTGTTATCTTATTTTCCCTTACAGTAGTACAGTAGCACAGCTAGAGCAGGGTAGAGGGAAAAGACATTTTTCATGTTAAACATATTGAGTCATTTGTAAAGTTCTTTAGTTTTTTGTGATAAATGCAAATGAAACAGTATAAAAACACAGGAAACTTTCATTAAATTGCATAAGCAACATTTTATTCTATGACTTTTTGCCCTCTCTCCTGCAAAACGATCTTATTAGGTTCATAAAGAAGTTATCAACATGCTGTTTTACAATCTCCAAAGGAGTGAACTCCAGACCCTTCAGAGAATTTTGTAGTAACATGAAGAGGTGAAAATCCAAGAGGGTCTGGTGAAGTGAATGTTCGGGAAGGGGGTGACACAAAATATCTTATTCAGTAGGTTTTTCTCTGATATTCTTCAAAATGTGAAGCATTGTAACTGTAGAAGACAATACCTCAAAGTTTATTCAGTTCTAAATGCTTTCCTTTGATTTCTGCTTTCATAAGTGCCACTTGGGAACATTATCTTTTTGAATTTATTGTCTGATTTGGAGGTAACAATTCTTAGTATGTAATTCTTTTGTAGTTCTGTCATATATACAGCATTACGCTTTTGGGATACATCCTTCTTTTGACATTACTAAAGGAGATTCTTTTGGATTACCCCATGATCATTTTCTCATAGCATTATTGTATAGTAATCACTTCTCATATCCGGTAATGAATCATTTCAAAAAAGGAGCTTCTTTATTTTTTTGTCAGCAGAGGATCATGCCTTTGAAACTGATAGAGTTTTGATTAAAATTTATACCAAATATAAGGTTGTTATTTTGAAATTTTGTTTTTTACTGTCATGTTTCTCTTCTCTCTTGACAGAATCACATGTTAAAAATTGAGCAAACGTATTCTGCTGTGTTAAATGTATTGAGGTATGGTTGTATAGGTACCCATATATCGTAGGAGCTTACATACACAATCTGTTTCAAATGATAATGTATTATACTTTTTGGAATATTTATTCTGATAATTCCTGAAATGTATAATGTGGATTTTCATTAGTAATTTTGATAGCTGTCTAGAACAAGTCCAGTGTCAAACTACCTTTGAATTGTGTCATCAAAGATAGCACATTTTCCATATGTAGCACAAAATTTACAGCTGTCTAATTTTAAAATTTACAAAAGCAGTCTAGCTAGGCTAGCTTTTTTTTTTTTTTTTTTTTTGAAATAAAACAGTATAACATGACACAAATGAACTTTTGAATTCTCCATTTTTGGCATTTTATGCTGCAGCAGGTGCTAGAATTATGCAGTGGGTGGGAAAAGGACCATATTTAAACATCCACTTTAATCAAGGCCAGTCTGTATGAATAGTAGCAAAAAAATTAGAAGAAAATGTGCTTCAATTTGGAAAATGGCAGGACTTTTGGGATGACCTTATGTTACATCTTATGAGGGGAATTTTTTGAATGCAAATTGGTTAAGAAACATTTAATATTAAATAATGAAGAACTTATGCTCAAGAAGTCTATTGTCTATGGAAAAGTAACTGGAGTAATAAAAGAAACTTCTATCTGCTGCCAGAAAATCTATCAAATAGCATTCTATGAACGCATAAAATCTTGTAATTAAAGTTTTATTTCAAAAGGAAACACACAGTTTTTAATTATTTCTCTTTCAGTCATTCTGACATTCGTGGTGCATTGAAAGGTTGAGAAACAGATTGCTGCATGTGGCAAAAGCTCTGGCTAAGCTACTGAGGCAGCAGGAAAAGCCTATAGCCTTACATTCACAAAAACTAATCCATGGAGTAGGAGAGCTTATTATTAGCCTTATTTCTCACGGATGACATTCTAGAACATTCTAAAAATGCTTATTTGGGTTAAGACTATAAGAAATTTGTGGACTGTTCTGTATACCTGATGCCAACAGACTGTTTCTTCATTCATTTTAATTCATTGTATGTTCAATGATATCTTATTCTGGAAAATATGGCTCATTTGTCTTATGTTTTATGTCATGTCTATATAGTTTTATGCTTGTCTGAAGATACAGAGATCTGAGTAATGACACGATGTATTCAAAAGATGCAAAGGTCTGAGTTTGTACTATCAAAATATTACTCAGACCACATTCGTGGTGCATTGAAAGGTTGAGAAACAGATTACAAGATTTTATGCGTTCATAGAATGCTTTTTGATAGATTTTCTGGCAGCAGATAGAAGTTTCTTTTATTACTCCAGTTACTTTCCATAGACAATACAGTAAGACGTTTTGCGCGTAAGTTGATACCATACATGCACATGGCCATTTGCTTGATGTAATGAGAACTTTGACTAACCAGATCAACACTGTACATGCACATGGCCATTTGCTTGATCTAATGAGAACTTTGACTAACCAGATCAACACCTTTTTCAAGACTTTCATACACCAAATGGCATATTTTTAAGTAAGTATTCCTTATGGTGAGTATTATTGGTGTTGTGAGGTTACAGCAAAGCCTCAAGAGCTATCTGCTTAAGGTGAGGGATCCCTTTGTGAAGGACTTTCTATGGGAAACTGACTTGTATACACATTTCACATGGGGAAAACCACACTATTCTTTATGAGTAGTGGGTATAGGGAAGACTATCAGTTGTAAAACCCCATATGCACAAATGCCTATCGCATTTCTCTTAAAAAACTAGAATTGCCTTTCTCTAGTTCTACTCAAGCACTAATGATGTGATCAACCTTTATGAGCAATGTTACATTTTGTTCCTTGAACTGGTTTTTGTCTTGCTGAACAGAATCTGAGTGCTGCTGCAGTATTTTCTCAAAATGTTGTCTATATTTAACTCTTTGATTATAAATTTAAAAAAAAATTACCCCATTTTCTATCCAAGTAAACAAATTGTGTCATAAATTTAGCATTTGGGTTTTTTTTTTTTTTTTTTTTTTTTTTTTTTTTTTTTTTTTTTTTTTTTACAAACAAGCCAACATTCAGAAGATTCTAAGTACCTTTTAAGTACATTATATGTCCTGTTAGTAGTCAAAGGGTTAAAGATCAAGAACTAATAATGATGCACTTAAAGCACCTGATGTTGTAATACATATTTTCATTATTTCCACCCCTGGGCAATAAATCTTATGAACACCCATTATAAGAGAACCTTAATATACTGTCAATCACATGAAACTGTTATGCCTAGTCTGATTTATGTAGACTTGTAGTGTGATTTATGTTGACTTGCAGTGTATAACCCTCATCAGTCAGTGTGCTGAAGACTTGATATAAAACTTGAAGGCTGAGGGTATTATAGGAAACATTTTTTACAGTTATAAATATATTTATATGCAGCAGTTTATTTTTAATATTGTTATGAGTGCAGGATTTACAACAAAGCATTTTAATTGCATTACATAAAGCTGTTTTATTGTTTCTTATGAATACTGAAATTAATAATCTGCAGTTTATTTTTGTAAATTTAGTGTAAGACTTTTTTTTTAAAGGTTCCAGTCTATTTGAATTGGGTTGTAAGGAATTTAGCAAGCACAGAAATGTATATGAGTGCAGTGGAACGTGTGCGAAATTATTCTAAACTTCCTATTGAAAATGGAGCTGTGAATAATTTGTCAGGTAATATTAGTAATTTTCAGTTTTCCTCTGTAACATTTAAACTTACAGAAATAATGCTTCATTTTATCTAAGAAAGTATTTCAGTGTTAAAAAATCTTGTGTGTTATGCAAAATTATTATTTTATACAATGCACATAACCTTGCCTTTCTGTTTTTTTATAAGCTTTTCTGAAATTAATATTTTAAAAGAACCTGAACTACATTTCCTCTTTATTTAGAGAAATTTAGCAGAAATAAAATAACCTCTATAATTTTTTCAACAAAGTTTGTAAATTCTGTATTAAAATTTTTAGTTCTTGACTAGTGTGGGGCTTGCTATTATTATAAAACTGTTGATGGTTTAACTGTTGATAGATATTTAAAAAAACTTAATTACAATGTGATCAGTGTGTGCTGTATAAATAACTTTGAAATCCTTAGGTAACTTGTTTAACAAGGCCTTTAATGCTTGTTTTCTTTAGTTGAAAACAAGGAATGTTCAAGCAGTTATATTCTAATATTAGCTCATGTTCACAGACTTGCATCCAAGAATTGGTTTTACAGAAGTGTTTGAAAAGTATTAGTGGACATTAGAAGGAAAAAATCTGTTATTTATGAGAGTATGCTATTAAAATAAACATTACCTGAACTGTGCTCCAGAGAAGTAAATATGGTAGTTATCATGGTCTGAAATGTCATCAAATGAGGTAAAAGTACTGCTACTAGGTCATATATGTACAGTAGGTATGCAGTAAGTCAAAAGAGCTAAATGATTTTAAGCATGCCATGATCATTGGTTCTATGAATGCCAGTGAATTTGGACCTTGCTACATGTATTTAAATCAACTACGAGTGATGTCATTACAAAATGTAATGGTAGGCAAATGATGTCATAGGTGGTATAAATTTAATGACAACTGCAATCCAACCCTGAAAAGGCAGTGAAGAAAAGTGATATGTTCCCTATGGCAATAATCATCTTCAGTGCTTGTGATGTCACTGCTAGCACCAGGATTGTTCACCAGGAACTGAAAAACATGGGTTTCCAATGTTGTATGACCACCTAACATGCTCAGAACAAGAGCAGCCTATGCCAGGTATCAATTGCTATGGTGTAGAGCATTACCGTTCATGATAGAGTGGTGGTTCAAATTCTTTGGAGTAAATAGTCTTGCTACAGGATCTAACAAACATATAGATGTAGTTAGGTTTAGCAAATGCTTCATATCCATGTGTATTGTGTGTACTGTCAAGTTTAATGGTGAAGACATCATGAGATTATTTCTTGTGGTTGTTCTGGATTCTTTTGTTCTTATGGCCAGAAAAATAACATTAGGATGTATATATTCTTCATAGCTGTGCACTAAACCCTCTAGGAACAGTTGGGAATGATTTTTTCTCCATCAAGATGATGATTATTGTAGATAAGCAGTTTTAATGCACAGCGATTATGGACAGCTAAGGTTATGGACTGGTGGAGTAAAATTAACATTATTTATAGAGTATAAGTTGTGTTTTCGTGACCTGAAGAAGCTGATATTTATTAACTGGATTAATCTTCACAGAGCCCTGATGTTAAAATGCAACTGGGCACCTCTGAGAAGAACTAGACAACCCCAGACAAGCCTCTCAAGCAATGGTCAGACTCAGTGCAGGATGAATGCAAGGCAGTTCCTGCAAGATACATCAAAAGCTGGGGGTCTTCCTAGAGTGCAGACTTTGACTGATTGAAACAGTGGATTGATATACTATAGACATATATGCCACATGAGGAGTCCCTGATTATACATCTGCCAATGTTTGGATATTTTTTTTTTATTTAAAATATCTCCTATTCTAGAGGTGGAAATTTTAAAAATTATGTGATTTTGAAAAGAAAGCTAAATTACTTTTTTAATTTTTTCTGTCAGTTTATAACATTCTGTTTTAGTTCTCAATATTTCTAAATGTATTTTAAAATTTTATTAATGAGAATTGATATTTTTGCCAAATAAAAAAAGTGAGATTGAATACAATAAATGTGAGACATATAAATGGAACAGAAAGTCTCAAGCCTGGGTTTTAAGTACGCAACTGCATTTATGATAATTAACAGATGACAAAGGTCTTTTGAAAAGTTTCATATTCCAGTTACCATGACAGAGTGTAAACAATTCATAAAGGTCAATGCTAAATATTAATAAAATAATTATTGCACAAATGTTTTGCACTTATAGTTATTTTGTGTCTAAGGAATGGTATTTGATAATTTATGCAGAATTTATGCAGGAATATTATTTTAATCACAACTGTGTATATATATCCTGATGCCTTTTAGGTCTTCATGCTAAGTGGCCAAGTAAAGGAACAATTTCATTTCAGAATGTCACTATGAAATACGATGCTAATAGTGACCCTGTACTGAAGAATATAACACTTACCATAAAGCCAGGTGAAAAGGTATGTGCATAATTTAATTAAAATATAATGAGTGTATTCATTAAATAAATCTGAATTTTACATCCTTTAAAATTCACAGATTAATATTTAATGATGACTCATTAGATAATAATTATATGATTATAATATTTGATAGTTACAATGAATAATTTTGAAGAGATGAAGGAGATGTGAAAAAATTGCTACTTGAATTTGTTGATTAATATCATTAAACCTTAGATATTATTTTATTTTGTTTGCATAACTGTGATTTCATATCGTTTTAATCAATTTTTATTAAAGTAAAAAATCTAATGTGGATGCCACATGACTTCCTTTTTACAATCTATTAAATTATATATATTTTTTGTTACACTTCATTTAAAATTTTTTCCTTGAATTATTCTAACTTGAATAACAGGTCCCTCAAGGCAAGACAAAAATGACATCAAAAATTGCGAACTTTGAAATTAAATATCCCAATTGATTCTTGTCATACAGAGTCGAACATTTTATAATTTTATTTTTTCATAATGAGCATAAAATGTTCCCAAATATAAGTATATGAACTGGGAGACCACATTAAAAGTTAAATTTTGTTATTTGTCAAAAATTAATTATTATTATTATTATTTTAATTTGGCATTTCCAAAATATAAATATTTTCTTCATTTAACATACTTTTGTGATTTGAAGTATATGTCTGTGACCAATGAGTGCGACTGGGTAAGCACTTTGGACTATATATATTTATTACTATATATGTTTGGTACTGCTAATTGCAATAAAAAAGAGAGGTGCACAACTAGATATTATAACAGTCCCATATACAAAAATTTCAATATTCTATGGCTAATCATTTTTGAGTTATGTGAGATACATGCATATATATATATACGTATGTACAGACATCACAAAAAAGTCCCTTTTGAAAAGGAATTTTTAAATCCGTTTTGGAAAAGAATCCTTTTTTCTATGTCACATATTAAGATCATGCAAAAAAGTATCAAAATGGATTTGAGAGCGATCATGCTGGATATTTTCGTTGAAATATGATACCCAAATTTTTTCACGATTACAATACTTCTTTTACTTTGTACAAGGGTGTAAAAAGAATTATGCGTTGAATTATATGTTCAGCAGGGCCATCTTCATTTTGCATAGATGCCATAGAAGATTTCTAATTTTTGTCTTCCATTCTGTGTGAAAACATGCTATTTTTCTGAGGCAAACATATAATATATAAATATATGCTCCATTCAAAGTTTTGGCTTGTTTTTTAAATATCTTATTCGACCTATTTATCCTCCACTAGAATGAAAATAAGGTGTATTTGAAGCATCTGCACGGAAATTGGTTAAAAGGTTAATTTGTTAAAAATTTTGTTTGTTGTCTCTTTATAATTTCATAATCTTAGTTATCATATTATTCTTTTAAAATTCAGTGCTAAACTTTAATCTATATAATGTCTAGGTCGGCATTTGTGGAAGAACTGGAAGTGGGAAGTCATCTCTCATTATGGCATTATTTCGAATGGTTAATATTTCTGGAGGGAAAATTGAGATTGATGGCATTGATATCATGAAGGTACCGCTTGAAACTCTTAGATCTCGACTTTCGATTATACCCCAAGAAGCCATTATATTTTCTGGAACTGTTCGGTAAACCTCATTTTTAAGCAGATTTATTTTATGTTATTGAATATTTAAAATATATATTTTCTGTTTCCAATTTTGAAAAATTTAGTTATCTGTTTTCATAATTAAGACACAATAACACGCCGAATAAATACTAATTCAGAAGTCAAACAACAAAAATCAGCGTTAATTTACAAAATTTTCACAGGACTAGTTTCGATGGTTTTACCGAACCATCATCTTCAGCTGCAAAACCGCAAATGAACAAGATAGGAAATAATGTTTAGATAAGATAAGAAAGCCTGGACAAGAATAAGCAAGTGGCGCCATCTGTTGGCGAAACCAGAACTAAAACATAATTTCTCTAAAGCCGAAGGCAAAGTTGGATTGGAATTAGGATCGTTAACTAGAACAGAAAGATTTTTATGAATGTGAATGCCTCTAGAAAATCCGTTCTCCAATGGAAGATTGTTTTTGAACAATTTTGGCAGCAGAAAAATTGAAAGTGTGATTTTCGGACAACAAGTTGAGCAACAGAAGACTTCTGTGTTTCCTTTTTTCTAACATATGCCTCATATTCTTGACGCGAAATTTTAAGGCTCTCTTAGTTTGGCCAATGTAAATTAAACGCTGGCAAGGAATCCTATAAATACCCCAGGAATTCATATCCGGAATGGGGTCCTTGAGTATAGAAGTTGGAATTTTATTGATGGAGAGTAAACAACCCAAAAGTTAAATTTCTGCAAAATATATGCGACTTTAAGCTTTTAGAGAAATTATGTTTTAGTTCTGGTTTCGCCAACAGATGCGCCACTTGCGTATTTTGTCCAGCTTTCTATCTTATCTAAACATTATTTCCATCTTGTTCATTTGCGGTTTTCAGCTGAAGATGATGGTTCGGTAAAACCATCGAAACAGCTGTGAAAATTTTGTAAATTAACGCTGATTTTTGTTGTTTGACTTCTGAATTAGTATCTGTTTTCATGTTTATTTCACTGTAAAGAAATGTTAATCCGTTATAATTAAATCATCATAAATGTAACATAACTGTAAAATAATGGGCCATGTAATAGCATCACATTGAATTCACAGCACATTTGAATGCATGATTAGAACAATAGTTAAAAATAGATTTTTTTCTTAACAAAAGTCACAGTTAAGATTATAGGTAAATATCTTGTCTCTTTTTGTCACGAAACTATTCATAAGAAATTGGTTTGAATTTAAGATGAAGTAAGATTTTGAAATTAGAATAAATAGCCATACTCAAATTCCCCCTCATCCAGTGGATGTTTAAATTTGGAAACTGCAAAAATAATAAAAAAAAAGTGAAGAGGGTTTTATGTTAAAATAACATGCTGAATAAATGCATTCTCGTTCATTTGCACTTGGGTAGCTGAAGAAGATGATTCTGTGTTTAAACCATTGAAACTAGTCCTCCAAAATTTACAGGCATTACACTGATTCTTGTTGTTTGACTTCTCCAATAAAAAGGTTTTAGGTATTGAAAAATTATAGGTATTAAAAAATAAGAAATATCTTTAATTACTTAAAATGTAGTAATATAAATCTAACAAGCAAGCTAATTAATTTCAAAGCTTCTTCATATTCAAGGTATTAAAAAATAAGAAATATCTTTAATTACTTAAAATGTAGTAATATAAATCTAACAAGCAAGCTAATATATTTCAAAGCTTCTTCATATTCAAGCTTCATCCTACTTTTATGTGTTTAAAAATGTAAATAAGAAGTGCAGCTTAAATTCAAAGATGTAGAAATTTGATACAGTTATTTTAATTATCTGTATGATAATTATCTGGTATGACCATTGGCTTATGTGACTCTTTCTACAGATATGTTGCTAATTCTATGTAAGCTTGCAGATTTTCAGCTGCTCATTCATCCAGACATACAGATACTTTGATTCTGTGTGTTTCTTAGTGGTGTGAAAAACCCATCCTACCTGAAAATGTGTAGTCTATGTTATTATTAGTCTCAAATCATTCTGAAAAAGATTTTGTATTTGAAAAAGGAGTATTAAATATGAATCACACAATATTCTTTCTATTTTATTTCTATGTTTCTTATTTATCAAACTTTTTTAATGAATGCTTCATAATAATAATAATAATTTATTATCATTTTCATCAACTATTACCCATAGACAAATAGAAATAAACAGGTACTTAGAGTGCAACATTGTCATATGGTTGTGGAATGTGCATAGAATTTTGAGAAATGAGCCTTTAAAAATCAAACTGAAATGACATGAAATTACTTCAGCTGTAAAACTTCAGCTGTTACTTGATTTGGTAATGCTAGAGCTTAAAAAGAATTAATAGCAGAGATGAGGCTTTGTGGTAAAGGAATGTGTGAGTCTTATTAAGAGAGTTTTCTTAAAATTTTAGAAAGCCATAAAGATTAGAATCATCTAAATAGCCAATGTAATCATTTTATTTGGTAACTGTTAAATTTGGACCTCTAGAAAAAATGCTCTGAGCAATTTTTAGCTCAATACGGGAAGAACATTGGAGGACAAGATGTAACTTTGAACTGCACAGGCTTTATAGGCAACCACAAGTAACACAAGTAATACATAATAATATTAGATTAAGATGGCTGAGCCATGTCTGGAGAAGCCCAAAAGATAACTCTGCTAAGATTTTGACATTCAAAAAACCTGATGGATCCTAAATTAAAAGAAGACCACAACTAGATGATTAGATGACACTAAAAAAGACTTAAATCCTTTGAAAATTAAAAATTGGGTAGGAGTTGATGCAGATAAAAGATGTTGGAAGGAGTGTGTGGTTGAGACAGCTAAGGCCTGTAGGGGGGGTGCTTGTGAAAAAGTTTTCTAGACATAATCATCATCCTATGTTAATTTTAACGATTGATAAAGTGGCAATTTCCAAAATAATTCATGTTTTCCTGAACATATATTATATATTGTGAACATTATTTAAATAATATTAAATGTGTATTAATTTTTAACAGTTTACACTATTTTCAGAGAGAATTTAGACCCCGGGAAAGAATATTCGGATGAAGAACTTTGGCAAGTTCTTGAAGCAGCTCAGTTGAAGCATATTATTGCTGCATTGCCTGGAGGTTTAGGTATTTTTTTATTCTTATTTCCTACCTAGATGTAATAATATACCTATATTCTTTTCATTTTTTAATAAAATTTCTTTTTATATGATCTTTATTTAAAATTTGATAGCATGCCAAATGAGTTATATTCACTAGCTTTTCTTCAAATCCTTAAGTAATCGAATTCAAGAAATATGGATATGCTGATGAGTTTATATCTAATCACCAAATGATTTCATAATCCCTCTATTCTGGTTTATTTAAAATATTTCATGAATAACTTTAAAAGAAAATCACAAATCAATTTTATGTAGTTAAACTTAAAAAAATTGTAAATGTCGATTTACTAAGGAAATATTCTAGTCAAATAATGTAATAATGATCTATATTTATCGATAGCTAATGAAAAATGTTGGATAAAAAATTTCATTGGGCTTTCTTTTATACATACTTGCATTGATAAAAGCTTTTAGTTTTGTATTCATTCTACAGTGAGAAAAAACATTCCTTTTACATTTGCTTACTGAACAGTGTTAAAACTACAGCTTGTGAACACAGCTAAGAAAGAAGAAATTTAGGTTGGTATTGAAAGTAGCGTTAGATCACTTTTTTAAAGTTATTTTATTAGTTTACATTAGTTTAAGTTGCATGTAGACTCAAATACTTTTTAAAAACTGAATACAATCAAAAATCATTTGCGAGACAAGTTCTAACTCTCTTCATTCAAACTTTTTTTTTTTTTTTTTGTTTTTTTTAAGTTAATATGCAGTTACTGTTAATTCAATCACAGTCTGAGCGGTTACAAAATTAAATATGAAGAAAATAAAATTTGAACACGTTGTTACAGAAAATTAAAATAAAATTGAACAGAAAATTGAACAGAAAACAGAAAATTAGTCTCTTTTCTTTTTTATTAAGTATTTTATTAGTTTAAGTTGTGTGTAGAGTCAAATATTTTTTAAAAATAGTATAGAAGTAAAACACACATGTGAGACAAATTCTAATTCTCCTTATTCAAACTTATATTTTTAGTTAATATTCTGTTACAATTAATTCAGTCACAATCTGAACGGTTACAAAATTAAATATGAAGAAAATAAAAGTCAACCAGGAATTGTATTTTTTGTGCCATAAATATTTGATAAATTTGCTAGATCATTTTGAAATATTTACCTTATGAACTTACGAAGTAAAAATATAATTAATATTTTGAATGTAGGACCACAAGGTCATTATCTAGTGTTGTGAACTATTACTTTTCCTAACAGTAGTCATAAGTATAACGCATCGCCACATTGACAGTAGTATTGAATAATGCTTTTTAAAATGTAACAAAAAAAAAAAAAAAAAAAAAAAAAAAATGCAAATATTTTTTGAATTATCATTTTGAGTTAATTGAGCTCCTATATTAAGAAAGTGCAAATTTTGATAATAATTCTCCTCAAAATATAGAGCAAATCGTTCATCTTTTTGATCATTTATTTCTATAATCATATTTAAAGCGTGATGAAATACAGTGGTTCAAATTCAAACAATGGATTTGACAAAAACAGCAAATCTTAAAAAAAAATATTAATTTTAAAATTACTTGATGGATTCCATATTTTAAGATCTGTAGGGAAAATTGTCACTTCGTGGAAATTTTTGCATATATAAATTAAGTGGAAAAATTTCAAAAGGGGATTTTTAATATAACTTGGTTTTATTCTTTAGCACATACCTAATTTCTGCATCTGTCTGAATATTTTAGATACTTAAAATAGTATCTAAAATATTTTTCAACTATATAAATATTCAGCTAAAAACAAAATATAAAAGTTTCGCCAACTGTTATAAATGATTTCCTACAGTAAAGTTAAAAACAAAAGCAAAAAGTGAAAAAGTTTTTAAAAAAAAGGGGGGCCTGAAAATTTTCAGATTTTATATCATGCCCACAGGGGCTTTTTTTTAGCATTTCATGTGTTAACTTTATTATTAACTATCAGTTCTCACACTTAAACATAAAATTCAATTCAACAGCAATATCGGAAAATAATTTAAAAAGAGCATATCTTTAGAATTTCTGATATACAGTCTCTTGTGCTGGAGTTAAAAGTGCCCCCCCATACAGTGTTGCCAAAATGTTGTGTTGTAGTGTTGTTTGTACAGTGTTGCTTGCTGTGAAATCGCTGAGTTTGTTAATCACAAATTTGTTAAAGTTTTATAAAATAGGAAATAGATAATAAAACAATTTCCAAATTTGGGCTTCCAGATACCCATATTCAGGTGGAAGAATATGTTATTCAAAATTTGATGTCTCTAAGTACCGTTGTTTTATCAAAACGAGAGAAACATACATACATTTATGCAGATTCTTCATTATTTCATTTGTTTAAATATAATACAGGGTGATCATATTCGCTGGAAACAATTCGAAAAGTGTTTAATGCATTTAAGTTTTCAAAGCAAAATGCCAAAACAAAATTAATAGTCCTCCTGGGCAAAATTGCCCCTTTGGGCTAAAAATAAAAAACTTAATAGTATTTATTTATTTAGTATGCAAATTTTGAATAATTACCTCACTGACATACACAACTGATACACTTTTCTCTTTCCTTTGGCAAACAATGTAGTTTGTTCTCAGTTCTTGATAATTTTCTTTCATTCAGTTTCTTTCTTTTTTTGTTGACAGATGCACATGTATCAGATGAAGGATCTAATATGAGCACAGGTCAGCATCAGGTAATTAAAGAATTAATGCTTTATACCTTTAATATTTATTGAATAATTTGTTGGTTTTAAAGATTCGGTGTATTTTTTTTAATTGATTCACTATGGGAAAGAATACTTTGTTAAAGAAGTGGATTTTTATAGTATTTATGTTATTGTTTATTTATCTGTTTTAATACTAAGAGAATCGCAGATAATAAAAAAGTAGTTTATTCCATTTGCAGCACATGTGTATGTCCTTAAAAATTAGATAATTAATTTAATTAGAATAGAACATAGTTGTGGTTTTCTTAATGTTGTAAAATGAAATTCTAGTAGGGTAGTAAATAGGATAATTCAGAAAATCCTTGGTATGGATTGTTTTTTTCAATAGTTATTCAAAAAGAAAACCCACTGGAATTCCTTGTGTATTGGATGTTTTTTCAATAGTTATTCAATTCCTCTAGTTTATACCCCTCAATTTGGGAATATAATACTACTTAATTGTTACTAGCAAATATCCAGTAGCAACAAATGTGGGTAATTTTAATTTCTGATTTTTTTCTAGCTATTTTGCTTAGCAAGAGCACTAATAAGAAAATCCAAAGTCCTTGTAATGGATGAAGCAACTTCTTCTCTAGATCCAGAGACTGACAGTATACTTCAAAATGTTGTTGCATTATACTACAGGGATTGTACTGTTATTTCCATAGCTGTGAGTATTTAATATATTTGTGGTACTTTCCAAATTTTTTGTTTTAAATATGATCTCCCATTTTTATTTCCTTGTACAAAGTAAAGAAAGTATTGTTATCGTGAAAAATTTTGGGTATCATATTTCAATAAAACTGACTGCTCTTGAATGCATTTTAATGATATTTCTGCATGACATCTGTACATATGACCCCTTTTAATAAAGGACCCCTTTTTCCAAAATGGCATGTTGATTTAAAATGGATTCAGAAGAAATTTTTTTTGTGATGTCTGTACGTACACATGTCTACATCTCGCACAACACCATAACAAGTAGCCGTAGAAGTTGAAATTTTGTATATGGGACTGCTGTAACATGCATGGACCTTCCTTTTTCATTGAAATTGGCCCTACCAAACATACATACATACATATATGTGTGTGGTGTAATAAGAAGACTTGGAGTAAGCTGCAACAGATTGACAATGGTTCTCTGCATTACATCATGAGAAGACTTTACTGCATAGTTAGAAACATGATACTCGAAGAAATGACTTGTGGCCAGACATGGCCGGGAATATGTAAGATAAAAAATAAATAAGCCAAAATTATAATTTAAACTAGTGGTAACCCCATAATTCCTCCTCTCTATTCTAAAAATCGTAATAATAACTTTTCTAAACTGCGTCATTTTAAGATCAGTCCATCTTGCATGGCTTGCATAATGCTGATAACATAGCTAACTCGAACATGAACTCAAAATTTCGAATTGAAACCTTTCTAAACTAAACCAAAACCTTCTCTTGATCAGCCTCCATATATATATTGTGCACTTTTAGCCTCAGTTCTCCTGCAGTCAAGATGCTGCTGCACTTCGTTTGCTTTATTGTGCTATTAACTATGCCATTATCTAAAATGTGATACTCTGTATAAAATTGTGGAGTGCGTGTTGTGCCTATGATCATGTATGATGTAAAATATGCTTTTGATAATTAGTTCATATCCATAAGTTATATTTGATTCAGCCACGCCAAGTGTCATCTTTCTAACTATGCAGTAAAGTCTCCCCAGCACAGAGAATCAACCATCATCAATCTATTGAAGCTTACTCTAAGTCATGTTATTATATATATATATACACATTTAACCCGCCTTGGTGAGGCCAGTATTTTAATTCTTATATGGTGGTAAATTGTGCATTTTTTGCTTTAAAAGTGATAGAATTACGTTGTTCTTATGTTCCAGTTAAGGTTTTTAATGCCTTTAGTTAATCTGCATGCAATTTGTTGTGTTAGGTTTTTCTGTATTTTACAGTTTTAATGAAGATGCTTAGAGTTTTTATGTAATTTTGCCTTGCTGCAATATGAGAACTGAAATGATTGAATGAGAAATATATCTCTAATGAAATTCGAGGAAATAAGTTTAAATGAAATGGAGAAAAAATCTGCATGATTTAATAGGCTATACGAGAAATAGCCTATTAAATTAAATTAATTTTTTTTAAATTATTAATTAAATTTAAAAAAATAAAATATTCGAGAATTACAGTTTTTAGTGTTTCAGAGTTGAATATTTTATTTCATCTTTATGTTTAGTTATATATACCATCAAAAGCAGTAGTATTAATGTAACATGTTAAAAATTATAAGTATTAATATTCATTTTCAGCATCGAGTTCAGAGTATTTTGGATTTTGATAAAGTGGTGGTGCTGGATGCAGGTCGTATAGCAGAAGTAGGAAGTCCCAAAGAACTACAGGAAATGAAAGGCAGTATTTTTGCTTCTCTCATTAAAGCTAGCCATCAACAACATTGAAGGTTTTCTTTAATGTATGTACAGAACTTTACAATCATTCATTTAAATCAGTTTTTTTCTTTTTCATCTGAATTTCTTTTGATCTATTTAATCCATTAGTGGCTATATATAACTATCAAAGTGCAACTATGGCAAAGAAATGCAAATTTTAACAGCTTTCATTAAGATTTTTAATTAAATCTTGTACCAGGCATCAATGTTTTTTGCAAATTCTAGCATAAAATATCAAAATAGGCATTGTCTTAGTTCAAAGAAAATGTATATAGATGAAGGTATATTAAAATCACTGTAAATAACTAGTGATATGCATTTACTATAAACATGCATACTATACAGGTATATGTGTGTGTGAGTTTTAAATGAATTAGAAAATAATGGCCACAGGAAAAAAAAAAAAAAAAAATTCAAAATCTGTTTTTAATACATTGTATGAAATTTGATGCTGTGCATCTGAGATTAATTTTTCTTTTCTTAAGAGTTTGTATTTTCATAACAAATACGTGTCATTTACTCTGTATATAAATTATGGAGAAAAATATATTTATTTTTCTATTTTTGTTATTCAGAGAGTATTTCATGCATATTTATGTTAATTCAGTGCAAGTATATTCTAACAAATATCTTCTGTAAAAGATGCAAAATAAATATGCTTTTAAAATTATTTAACATTATTTATATTAAAAATGCTTTCAGATGTGTTTTATTAAAAAATTATTCACTGAATAGAAAAAGTTGATACTGTTTTTATTATATATGAAAACCTTGCATATTTGATGCATTAGATTTGTGCCTGTGTCTCTTTCAATATTTTCTGTCATGTTTAGGCATAACTATTTTTTATCGAAGTTTCATAAATTATTGCTTTTAAAATGTTCATTGCTAACAATTTTACTGCAAGTAATACAACATTAATGCTGGATTCAATCTTACTAACATGTTTTCAGATATATCAGTATATTTTTCTGCCAGACAGAACAATATCAGTCCACTTAATAGCATTTTTTTCAGTGAACATTTAGTTTCCAAGGTTGTCAATAGTTTCTTTACTTTCTAGTTTAGATTTTTCACTTTGCATATTAGAGTATGTTATTTCTAGTATGTCGCCATTACCAAATGATTTTACATAAGACCTTACATTATTGCTTTTCACATTATTGCACATTCCAAAAGAGTGTTCAGTACTTCTATTACTTTTTTATGCATCTTTTTAAAGCATCTTTTTAAAATAAAATGAGTTACATCATCATAAATAATTTACTATTTCTTATATGAATTAAAGTTAGTAGTTTTCTAAAATTTTTATTATGCCCCCCCCGGTAATAAAAACCATGAGTACTTTATTGTATGAAAACAAGGTTCAATATGAATAACTTGTTTTTAAGGTGTAATAAAAATATTCATCAATTGCTCCCAACCTGAAGCATGTTAAACATGTTCAAATATTACTACATAATACAGTGTGGGTTATAAATGTTTGGATGTTTGTAAATAAATATAGTTAAGGTGTCTTATAAGCTTTTACTTAACAGTAAATATATCTGGTAATTTATTTTTTAAAAATAATATCATTGATATTCTCCTTCACATCTTAGGCACTTTTGCAACTAAGTTTTAAAAAACAACTGACACATGGCCCACAGAATTGTGGCTATCATATCATGAAAATTTGTTTCAGTCGAGTTATTCAACTGGTCACTTGATTTTCGTATACATGATTTTAAAGATAGCCCTCTTAGAAAGATGATGGTGGGGATAAGATCCATAGTCCTAGGAGGCCATATGTTGCCACCTCTACAAGAAATCAGGTTACTGAGGAATATTTCTTTAACCTATGAACATGTTTGAAATATAAGCACTCTGCTGCATTCAAGTCCTCTTGTCATAGCCTTCAAATTTTTGCAGCTTTGCCTTATGTCTAACAACTTGCACATTTTCTTTGTTTTGCCATATATGGACATATGGCACCATCCTACTGTATCCAGTTCCTCTTGTAATAACCTTTAAATTCTTGCAATTCTGTCTCATATATAATGGCTTGTGCATTTACTTTGCTTTGCCAAAAGCATGGCTATCTCACTTGTTTCACATATATGGTGGAACCAGTTTGCTCATATTTCTTGAGCCATGATTTAATAAAATAAACACTTTAGCACTCACTACTCATGATTATGGCTTTGTGATTTATGTAAATCATAAACTGATGCAAGTGCCTAAAGCTATATAAAAATTGTTATTTTTGTTAAATAATTTTAGAAGGGAAAAAAAAAAAAATACTGTTCAGCTATGGAATATTCTGTGCTGATTAAAATTCCCCAAAATCAAGGTATCAATAGTAGCAGTGCATGCATGTGTCTCGAAAAATAATTTTTGAGAAAAATATGATTGCAGTTTGTATATAGCTTGTGCAATATACCATGTGGTAAAATATAATATTAGTTCATATGGTGGCTTTTATTTAAAACGTGGTGGTGTATTTAGTTGTACTGTTAATATGAAGAAAAATACAATCATAAGCAAATGACTAAACATAAGCAACTTGGGAAATCCTATCATAACTGAATGAGAATAGCATTGAGTATCCAGCACAAGATTATATATCTTTATATATCGTTTACAGATTCCTTTGAGGTATTTCTTTTGAAGTGTGTGAAATTGCAGCAGCATTAGCAGATTCTTTTGAAGTATATGAAGCATTTTCAGTCATAGAAATTTGCACTCCTGTATATGCAAATGTTGTTTTGTTATTTACAGCCAAATGAGTCATTTGTACAAGAAATAACAAAAAGATTGTTATTTCTTGTACAAATGACTCGGATGTGTAAATTTTCCATGATTGAATTAATGGAGTTCATTTTAGTTTAATGATCTAAAGATATGCCTGCACACATGAAAATTCGTTAAACTTTTATTTCGTATATGACATTATTTATTTAAATATGTCAGTTGATTGCAAGTGTTTTTTATTTTTATGAATTTTTATTATTTATGGAATTAATTTTAATTACTCCATGAAATATTCTATAGAATAGAATGTAATGTATACCATGTTCCTATTTATACTTTAAAATCAATATTTATATACTAGATTTTTATTTTTAACTAATGGTTCATGATAGTTAAAAAATCTTGGTGCTCTGAATATTTTTATACAATTTATGTAAAAATAATATTGATGTAATATAAATATTTTTAATTTTTGTGTTTGTCATTTAGATTTGATTAATCTTAGCAACATTTTGTGTAATTACAAGAATGAACTGTAATTTAATAATGCTTCAACATTTTTTAAGATTAATTTTTTTCCTATACATTATATTTCTTCATATTATTTCTACAATCCTTCTCCCCCCCCCTTCAAAATCAAATCGAGCTGGAAATTTAGAAAAGCGAATTTAGTACCTTCTTTTGAAAAGAACTGCTGAAAAAAATAGCTTTGGGAGCTCAAAAAATAAACAAACAGAAAATAAATAAACAGAAAAACAATCTGCATCCAAAAAAGATTAATAATTATTCTGCTTTATTTTCTAAAACCTGTTTTTCCACTTCTAATATAAATGAATAACAGCAACATGTAGACTAACTTCCTCATATCAACCTGGTACCTGTAAAAAATTTAATTTTCCTCGCTTTCATTTTATCTATATATAATGTCTTCTAGCTCTGCAAATTATTATAATTTAACAAACTAAACTTACTCATTTAAAATAATAATTTGAAACTAAAGACATATTGTCTACATTTATCAATCTATAATATTTTTATTGCTTTAATAAAAACACAAATATAATTTTTCCTGTTATATAAAGTTTATAAATGTCACTCTTTTTTTTAATTTATTAAGAATTTTCCTTAATTTATATTAGTGTATTTTAATAAATATTTCTAAAATAAAGCATGGATACTAATACAATTATTTAAACTTTATGTATTAAAACTATGCAAAAAGTGAAAATAAATAATTTTTACGATGATGATGCTACAAGAAGTAAAAATACATACGAAGTAACCATCTTAACAGTATTCATGATTTCAATTTTATTGCTTTATTTCCCAACTTACTAAATGTAACTTGAATTTCATACTTAAGAGAAAAGACCTTGCTTTTATTTTTATTATTGCCATCCTTAAAAACAAACAGCTATTAACAGCAATATATGTGAACTAAACAGTGAAATTAATCAAATGATTAATTATAATTTTCAAATTAATCAAGCTGTTTTCTGATATGTTTGGCTTAGAATCTGTTTTTCTAAAAGTTTTTTTCTTGTCACTTTAGCTTAGTTCCATCTGTAACACATAAGCGAAAACAATCCCAGATGCATTTAAAGAAATTTAACTGTACCTTCATGTATTCTAAAACGTGCACATCTTTATTCATTATTTTTTTCACTGTTTTAGATGGCTCTTTTTTTAGGGAACAGTCAAATAGAAAACTTAATTTATAATAATTATTTCTGCATAAATAATTGGTCACACTGATACAGTTACTAAAAAGTTGATATCTTGTTTCCAGTTTCACATTTAGACTAGAAAGATATGCTAGAGAAGCTGTCAATCAATTTTTTGTAATGAAATAAATAATGAATATAATATAATAATGAAATAGTGAATATAATTCAAATTCCTGCTTTAAGGCACCTTTTTATCTCCCTTAAAGCATAATAGAATAACATCTAAATAAACGGGTAAGAGAGGTCATGTTTTCGGTCCAAAAATTTGATAGCGAGTTTTCAGTGAATAAGCATGAATTAGGAATGTTTTTACTATTTTTACACATGTTTTTACTATTTTTACAATGATGTCCATCTATCTGTGTAAAGATATTTTGGTCCACAATAAATCTTATATCAAACTTCCAAAATTTCTATTTTCATATTTCAACTTTCAGCACTCATATAAAGGAGTTGATTAGATTTTGGGTTACACTGCATAACCAGAAGTGGTATTTGAAGCCTATAACAGTTTTTAATAAAAGTCAGTTGTGGTACTTTACATGAAGACTATAACAGTTCTGCAGCAATCAACATAACATATTAGCGGCTAAGTGGTAAAGTTGCTGAACATTGCTAATTTGGTTTAAGGTTCAAATCCCACAAACGGGCTGGCTGCATGGGCGTTTTCATGGTTTTGCCCATGTGTAACATGTATACAGTTTGCTTTAGAAAGTCCTACACAAAGGCATCCCTCCCCTTAGACAGATATCCCTCGAGGCATTGCCGTAATTAAATAAACCAAACAATACCGTTGCATTTGAAGGAACATTGTTTACTGATGCCTAAATATAGCAGAGGATATATATACAAATTAAAATAAATTTAGATTTTTTCACATATTATGGAAATATAGAAAAAAATTAAATTATGATGATTATTTCAAAGTAACTATTTTAAATATATTACAAATATTTAACTTTCTTAAATTAAAAACCAATTAAATTATATGCTATTCAACCTACCATTTAAATACAATTTTTGATTTTAAAAAATGAAAGGGAAAACATTTTTTATATTGGCATAAATTTAGAAAAACCAAATGGCCAATTATATCAAATAAAATAAAATCCAAAATTTTGTATTACAGACCTTTCTATTGCAGCAACAAATTAGATTGTTTTCACAAATAATTAACCAGATGTGATATTTTACTTAAACTTCCTTGCTATTTAAAACATGAAAATGGTGAGAGGTAATGTGCTCAGCACATCAGACTTTTGTTTTGTTTGTTTGTTAAGTCTCTGACTTTTTTTAGATTTTGAACGTCAGTAGGCTAGATAAAAATTTCTGGTAAGTCAGGCTAAGCCAGCAGGACACATGCTGGACAACCTACTATATAAACTCACAAAACAGTTAAGGAATTGGATAAGGTATATTCTTCTTTTTAGTCCAAAGGGGCAATTTTCCCTGAAGGACTATTTTTTCGTTTTGGCATTTTGCGTTGGTTCGCTATAAATGTCCGATTCACTTTTCAAATTGTTGCCACCAAATATTATCGCCCTGTATTATATTTAAACAAATTAAAAAATGAAGAATCTGCATAAATGTATATGTGTTTTGTGCATTCTGATAAAACAACTGCACCTAGAGCCATCCAATTTTGAATAATGTACGTTTCCACCCGAATATGGGCATTGGAATTTGTTTTTTTATCTATTTCATATTTTGTAAAACTTTAATGAATTTTTTATTAACAAATTCAACGATTTAAAAGCGAGCGATGACAACCCTCTAGGGGAAAAGAAAAACCTTTTTATGTCTAGCGCGCAGAACTGTGTATCAGAAATTCTTCATTATTTCAAATAATTTTAACAAAGTGCGTAAAGTACATTTGCCGTTATTATCGCTTATAACAAATATGCCAAATTTTAAGAAGTGCCAATATGTAAATTCATATATATATGCTAGGAAATTTTGAATAAAGAACTCTAATTTTCTTCAGGTATACTTAGAAATACATCTATTTTAAGATGATGGTAAACATTTTATACGCTATAATTCAAAACTTTTTTCAAAAAATTTATAAAAATATTTAAAAATACAAATTTTAAAAATAAATCATAAAAAATGGGTTTTTATGATTTTATTTGGAATTCTGAAAAAAGGAGATATTAATAAATATATACCAAATTCAATTAACATTAAGGAACTAAAATTTTGAGAGCTAATTTTTTAAAAACTACTTGCGCGATATTTTTAAAAACTTGCCAATTTGGCAGAATTTGAGTCGTAGAATCGAAATACAGTCAAAAGTCGTTAATTCGGACACCCATAATCTGGAATGATCTATAATCCGGACCTCGAAGCTACAAACTTTCTGCGCATGCGTCGCTTTGACGCATGCACGTAAGACCTTTACGGCTGCGAATATGCTTGTGTGCGTGCGCAAAATACGTTTACGAGTGCACGTTTAATGTATAACGGACGGCATAAGCTAAGCTAAAATTATCTAATTATCTATTTCAGTTAATG